GAAGAGAAGATTATTCGCACAAATGTCCCAAAGGGATTTGATTTATACCTTGAAGAAAAAATTCAAGATCAGTGAGAAGCTCATCAGTGCAGACAAGTGAAAGGACGGTGCCGTCACTACAGAAACAAGGGCGTTCCACAAAATGCAGCGTGGGAGACCCTGAAACTGTGGATTTTGAACAAGACGAAAAGATTTTAAAGTGTAAATAGACTATTCTTGCCATAATGATAATATTATCTTCATGAAAACAGGGACCCCAGATCCTCCTGATTATTCATGTTTTTGTCCCTTGAGACACTTTAGATGAGCCCTCCCGCGGTCTGGATGGTCCCGCAGGCGGGCAGCAGCTGCCCGGGCTCTCCTCGCAGCTTAGATGAACAAACCTGATCTTGTGGGTAAACATTTCGCATAGGAAAATGACAGGTTTCCAGGAAAGACAGATTGATCAGCCTGCAAAGATGGGAAAGTTCGTGACTGTTCAACGTTCTTAGCTGACAAATAAATCACCATCTTGAAAACAAATATGCAACACAACTAAAAATAAGCAAGTCGAATGCATCCGATGCAGAAGATGAACAGAAAACCGCACATTCTTATTTTGTATTTCAACTGGGAAAATAAAATAAATAGCGGTTTCACCTGTTATGTTTCCTCCTTGTCCTCCTCGCCCCACCCGTACCCCCTAGATCTCCTCTTCTATTGTTCAAATGTATCTAATGAAGACGGAAGGATCGAGGTGGCAGCGGCAACAGTGGCGGACTGTGCAACACGCGTCGTATTTCCGAAGACCTTGCAGTCTGCGCCGGCACAGCCGCAGAACAGAGAGTAAACGCCCGGAGCTAAGAAGGGAGCAGAAGATAAAGCAGAAATAAAACCTACCTTTAAAGTTAAAGGTTGCCGACACCCAGAACCAGAGCCACACGGCCTCGCTGGGGCAGCCATGGGCTAGACGGGGCGCGCCGTGCTCCGCGTTCCCACGCACAGGGCGCATGGGGACTGGGGGCCCTGGCGCTCACCGGTCAGGCGCGGGCGAGCGCGCCCCCACGCGTGGCCAGAAGGACCACTGCAGGTGCACGGTGTGTGGGCTTGTCCGAGGGTCAGACATAACACGGCTGGCTCGCCGAGTCGAGACAGAGCAGCCGTGAAGAGAGCGAATGGAAGGTTTCGGCTGATAGGGGAACGAGTCATCACGCTGCGTCAGCCGCGCGAATCTTTCCCTGCAGAAAGGAAGAAAAGGCGAGTAAGAGGGGGAGTGTCAGGACGGGCGAAGAGCGCGCGTGCGAGAGAGCGAGCGGCAGGGGCGCCAGCAGGCAGAGTCCGCCAGCCTCCCCCGAGGACTGCCCCCGGTCCTGTTTGCTGTGTCCACAGGGACCACAGGCTGCTGAGCCATTGAGACACCAGGAAGCGAGGGGCACTATAGTTTGGGCTCTCTGCCGACTAAGAGACAGCATTCATAGGACTTTTTTTTTTGTTTTTTTGTTTTTTGAGACAGAGTCTCTACTATGTTGCTCTGGCTAGAGTGAGTGCTGTGCGGTCAGACTCACTCCCACGCAAGCTCAAAACTCCCTGGCCTCAGGCAATCCTCCTGTAGCTGGACTGCAGCATGGTGGGCGCATGCGGCGCTTAATGCGTTTTGGTAGAGTATATATAATGTTTTAGTTGGGCAATTAATTTCTTTCTAATTTTTAGTAGAGATAGGGTCGGTCACTGCGTGCGTGCGCGCGAGGGTGGTGTCTCGAATGCGTCCTGCCCTTGAGCCAATGCGCTCCACCTCAGCCTTCCAGGAGTGCCGGGAGTAACAGGGTGGGAGCCCCTCGCCCTGCCCATCATAGGCTTTTAAGAGGGAGAGCCACGAGCCGTGGGCGGTCGCGTGTGTGTCCACGGGACTACATGCTGTGGGTGTGGCGCCCGGGGGCTTCAGAATCTCAGCTCTTTCTTGTGCAGAAAAGGCACCATTTCTGGAAAACAACCTGAAGGTCGAGAGTTAGTTTGGTTGATGAGAGAGATTGAAAATTTGTTCAGTGGGCACGGGCCTCCTTGTGACACTAGATCCTAATGTGTGTGGCTGGCAGTTATTGAGTTCTCCGTTAATCAGGTCTTAGCGTGCAGGAAAACTTTCTAAAAGTTTCGTGCATGCGTGTGAGCGGGGAGAGGCACCCCAACAACGGAGGGGGGGCGGACCAGAGAGGAACAGGCGAGAAGGGAGCCGCAGGAGAAAGCCACGGGGGTGCCAGCACGGGGGCCCGAGCAAAAGAGAAGAAGGGGCCAGAAAAGGTGGCCTTGGGTGAGGTGGGGAGAAAGAGAGGTGAGAGGGCGTTGAAGTTAAACATATTGATTTCAAAAAGCTGTGAACACAGGTTGTGATTGGCGCAAGAAGATTATCGTTCATCTACAGAGCCAGTAAATTGCGACTCTTGGAGGCGCTCGCCCGGCGAGAGGTGCCGCTATCGCGCAGTTCAGATGAGCATTGCGCCAGAAGTTCTTCACAGAAGGTCTGGAGTGAGCGATGCGCGGCTCATGGACGTTGTATGTTGGATGTGGTTGTGTGAGGCAGTCTGCAGTAGTGTTCCGCTATGTGCCGAGAGTCCTGTGGCAAAGGTCGTGTAATAAGATATTGCCAGATATGAGATTGCAGCCTACAGAGTAGAGGTGACGCGCCGGCAGGCATAAGCGAGGTCAACCCCAACACAATAAAATGTGTGGTAATGTAAAGAAGTGAGAGCGATCCGAGTTACATGAGTGCTTTGAATTCTGACCCTCACCCCTTACCCTCCACACTGGGCAAGTATTTCCTGTTGGGCTTCCGTGAGTGTGTCTCAATAATTTTTGTGACCAACCACACCTTTCTTCTCATCATGGCTGGCAAAGCCTATTTCGTTTGTTCAGTGCCCTGCTTCCCTGGTGTCCTCACTGGCTCAGCAGCTGTGTCCCTGTGGGACAAGCAAACAGCCCCGGGGCAGTCTGGGGGAGGCTGGGGGACTCTGCCCTGCTGGCGCCCCCTGAGGGTGGCCGCTGTGCTGCCCAGAGGGCTGTCCTTCCCGCCCCGTCCCCTGACACTCCCTCTTTGCTTTCCTTCCCCTTTCCTGCAGGGAAAGATTGCTGGGCTGACGGCAGACGTGATGACTCGTTCCCCTCTCAGACCGAACCCTTCCATTCGCTCTTCACGCCTGCCTCTGTCTCCGACCTCGGGAGCAGCCGTGTTATGTCTGAGCCCTCGGAAGCCACACGTGCACTGCAGTGGTCTTCTGGCCACGCGTGGGGCGGCTGCCCGCAGCTGACCGGGAGCGCCAGGGCCCCCAGTCCCATGCGTCCTGTGCGTGGGAACAGGGAGCACGGCGGGCGCTAGCCATGCTGCCCAGCGAGGCCGTGTGGCTCTGGTTCTGGGTGTCGGCACCTTTCTTTAAAGGTAGGTTTTATTTCTGCTTCATCTTCTGCTCCATTCTTAGCTCCGGGCGTTTACTCTCTGTTCTGGCTGTGCAGGCGCAGACTGGCAGGTCCTGCGGGGAAATACGCAGAGTGTCTGCACAGTCCGCCACTGTTGCCGCTGCCCACTAATCTCTTCCGTCTTCATTAGATACATTTGACATAGAAGAGGAGATCTAGGGGGTAGGGTGGGGCGAGGAGGACAAGGAGGAAACATAGGTGAACCGTATTTATTTTATTTTCCCAGTTGAAATACAAAATAAGAATGATGCGGTTTTCTGTTCATCTCTGCCATGGATGCATTCGACTTGCTTATTTTTAGTTGTGTTGCATATTTGTTTTCAAGATGGTGATTTATTTGTCAGCTAAGACCGTTGCACAGTCCACGAACCCTTTCCATTTTGCAGGTGATCATCTGTTTCCTGGAAACCTGTCATTTCACTATGCCGAAATGTTTCCCAAGAGCAGGTTCGTTCATTTAGAGCTGCGAGGGAGAGCAGGCAGCTGCTGCCCGCCTGCCGGGACCGTCCAGACGGGGAGGGCTCATCTAAAGTGTCTCAAGGGAAAACATGAATAATCAGGAGGATCTGGGGGTCTGTTTTATGAAGAAATATTATCATTATGGCAAGAATAGTATTTTACATTTAAAATTTTTCGTTCTTGTTAAAATCCCACAGTTTCAGGGCTCCCACGGCATTTGTGGAAACTCTTTTCTGTTAGTGACGGCACCGTCCTTTCACTTGTTGCACCTGATGAGCTTCTCACTGACTTAATTTTTTTCTTTCAAGGTATAAATCCCTTTGGGACATTTGTGGAATAATATTTCTTTCTTTCTTTCTTTCTTTTTTTGAGACAGAGGCTCACTCTGTTGCCCAGGCTACGATGCTGTGGCGTCAGCCTAGCTCACAGCAACCTCAAACTTCTGGGCCTCAAGCAGATCCTCTGCCTCAGCCTGAAGTAGCTGGGATAACAGGCAATGCACACCATGCCCGACTAATTTTTTCATATATAGTTTAGGTTGGCCAATTAATTTCTTCTATTATTTAGTAGAGACAGGTCTCCTCTTGCTCAGGCTCGTCTCGAACTCCTTGACCTTTGGTCATGCCTGCTTGGTCCTCCCAGAGTGCTAGGATGTACAGGCGTGAGCCACCTTCCCCCTGAATAAATTCGTGGCTCAAATTTGAATTTATATAAAGGAAAATGTAGAGGAAGTATTAATGAAATGAATTCTGACAAATGAAGACCAGTAACTTGCCTCTACTGTGTTCTTGGAAAAATACAAAGAGATATGCATGAAATATTAATAATTGCCTAGATTTTAATGACTGAAGGTACTATTATTTAAGAACCTATTTTTAGTTCTCTTCAAATTATTTTAAGTAAACTTGTCTTAAAAACCTTGCATTCTCACAAATGTCCAAAATAATTGAATTTCAAAGTTGATTTTAAAAGAGAATGGCTTCTGAAGACTACTGCTAGTTGTTTCCATTTTTGCTTGGTGAAGGCTCCCCAGCGAAACACCTTGCAGGTGCAGACACAGGCGTCCGCCGGAGCAGCACCGTGACAAGAAAGGGCAAGACTTTCCCCAAAAAACACTGGCGAACTTCCCGCTCCGGCAGCTAGTGCGACGAGAGCAAAGATTCCCGGCCTGGCGTCTGTGCCTGTGCATCTGCCGGGCCTTAGACTTTAGAAGCGCTATTGTCGGCCGGGCCTGGTGGCTCACACCCGTCATCCCAGCACTCTGGGAGGCCGAGGCGGGCGGATCGCTCCAGGTCAGGAGTTCGGAACCAGCCCGAGCAAGAGCGAGACCCCGTCTCTACCATAAGTAGAAAGAAATTAATTGGCCAACTAATATATATAGAAAAGATTAGCCGGGCGTGGTGGCGCATGGCTGTAGTCCCAGCTACTCGGGAGGCTGAGGCAGGAGGATCGCTTGAGCCCAGGAGTTTGAGGTTGTTGTGAGCTGGGCTGACGCCACGGCACTCACTCTAGCCTGGGCAGCAAAGTGAGACTGTCTCAAAAAACAAACAAACAAAAAAAAACCGCTATCGTCCTAGCTGCGGCTCTAGTCCGAAGACATCCGTAGCCCAGGTGGAGACAGCGCAGGACGCGACACTGCTGCGGCCACCCCGGCCGGCGCTGACTCTCTCTGTTGGCACGCAGGCTGCATGGGCTGCGCCGCCGAGGAGAGGCTCTTTCAAAGACTCTTCTCGCACTACAACCAGCTCATCAGGCCCGTGGAGAACGTCTCCGAGCCCGTCACGGTGCACTTCGAAGTGGCCATCACGCAGCTGGCCAACGTGGTGAGTGCCCAGCTCCCGCAGAGCCCTTCCCGGGTGGCAGACAAGGCATGTGACACACCTGCCCGAGGGCCGGCCCGTGGGCGCAGACCCTTCCCCCGTGGTGCTCCCCTCAGGGCACGGGTTTCTGGAAGAGCAAGAAGGGCTGTTGGGCTAACCCCATGGTGGACCCGGCGTGTACCAGACGCCGGGCTCACACTGGGTGGCCGTCACCTTCCTCTCACTGCTGAGCACATGAAAGCTCAGCGGAGTGACTGTCCCAAGGTCATTCCATCACAAAAGGGTGAAAGTGGGCCGGGCCTGGTGGCTCACGCCTGTAATTCCAGCACTCTGGGAGGCCGAGGCGGGCGGATTGCTCGAGGTCAGGAGTTCAAAACCAGCCTGAGCAAGAGCGAGACCCCGTCTCTACTATAAGTAGAAAGAAATTAATTGGCCAACTAATATATATAGAAAAGATTAGCCAGGCGTGGTGGTGCATGGCTGTAGTCCCAGCTACTCGGGAGGCTGAGGCAGCAGGATCGCTTGAGCCCAGGAGTTTGAGGTTGTTGTGAGCTAGGCTGACGCCACGGCACTCACTCTAGCCTGGGCGACAAAGTGAGACTCTGTCTCAAAAAAAAAAGAAAAGGGTGAAACTGGGATTTAGCTCCCAGGCATGCGACCTTTTTCCCTCCACAATCGAAGCATCTCTTTTAAGTCTGCTATGTTATGTAAGAGAGGAAAAATCTAGTTCCTTTCATAAGACATTCCATCCCACTCTGGAAAAAAAAAGGGTGGGGGATTTGGAGATCTTGGAGAGATCTAGAACTAGAGTTCCTCGTTTGGACGCCTCTGCTCCTGCTTGCCGGCAGAGGGTGGGGGCCTGTGTGCTCAGGGGACCAGGCTCTGGGCTCCAGGGCCCAGCTGGGCGGGGCAGGGCCGGCCCACGCTGGGCTCAGACCACGGTCCAGAAGTGGGCAGAACAGGCGGGCTGGGGGAGCAGGGACCCCCGAGGCAGCTCCAGAGAGGGCACAGGAGGAGGGAGCCCTTCCGCCACATCCGCCCAGCCCGCGTGTGGGATGGAGCCCTCCTCTTCCCAGGCTGCCCTGTGGGCGAGGCGGCGGTGGCTCCTCTAGGTGTCCCTCGGAAGACCTAAATTACGGGTGCGAGTCGGGGTCCCTGTGTCGTCCAGTTCATGCTTCCCAGCGGATGGGGCTGACCCCGGCTGGGTCCTCTGGCTTCTGCCCCAGGCTAGAAGAGGAAGGGTGCGAGTACTGATACATATTGATTTAAAGAAGGAAACTTAGGTGTTTCCTCTCACTTAGAGGGGCCCACCCATTCTTTTATTAAGCGTTATCTATCCCGATCCCCTCCCCAGCCCCGACAGCTTGGCCCTGGCCGCTGGTGTTGCCCTGGGCTGGGAGCAGCCTTGCTGCCATGCGGGTTGCTGTGAGCGCTGGCCTGAGTGTCCTCCGGGGCCTGTGACGGCCACTTCCCACATAGCGCCACTTCAAATCCCTGCTTGGTCCACCCTTTCAGGACATTGTCCTAAAGCTGGTGGGCAGGGGACAGCTAAATGCAGATTTTGACACTTACATCTGGTTACTAGTATCAGAGATTTTTTAAAAAAACAGCTTTAATAAAACAGGTTTATTCTTCTCCACTCCCACTGCTTCACTTGACCAGAAAAATAAATAAATAAATAAAGAGCGAAAACAAGTTTATTCCTTTCTTATATAGTGGAAATTCACAACTTCCATCCAGGAGGTTAATGCCAGGTGGTTCCTGTGTCAGTGACTGCTCGCTAGGTTCTGTTGCCCACCTTGTGCACTGCACAACTGCAGGGGCTGTCACTACCATGGGCTGATTCTAAAAGCATAAAGCAGACATGGCAACAGTGACCAAGGTTCCTTCTTCTGCCTTTCTATTTCACCATCCTCTGCATGTGGCTTCTGCCCTTGGTGTGGCCTCACAGTCCAAGATAACTTGCATTTCCACTCGTCATTTTCACATTCTTGGAAAGAAGCAGGGGAAGGTGGGGAAAGGGCAGAGGGGGGCATGCGGGACATTGTGGCTTTCTCGAGCTTTCTTGGGAGTCCTGCTGGCAGCTCCTGCTTTCCTTCTCACCGCCCCCTATAGGTGCAGGGGAGACTTGGGACATGTTTAAGTTGAGGTCATTGTGGATTCCCGTGCACTTGTGAAAGATAACGGTGAGATCCCTGTACGCTTGGCCCGGTTTCTCCTGTTAAGCTGTCCTCCGTTTCTAAAATGTTCTCATTTCAACAATGTCACATGAATGTGGAATCAGTGTGTAAACGTGTGGGGTTGGGTTTTCCACTCGGCGTACAGCCTCGGTCATCGATGCTGCGGACTGTGTCAGTAGTTCCCGCCTCCGTGCTGCTGGGTAGCCTCCCCTGGCATGTGACCACAGCTTGTTCCACCTTTTACTTGGTGAAGAACATCTGGGCTGATTCCAGTTTTTTATCTATTGCAAATAAAGCTGTTGTGCACATCTTTGTACAGGATTCTGTGTAAACATAGGTCTTCACGACTCTGGGATAAATGCCCCGGTGATCAGAAAGCCTTCAGAGGAGAGGTGGGGCTTAGCTCAGCTTTGAGAGACACTTTAAAGCCACCTTTCCCTTGCACGTCAACGGGGCTGGGACCAGATGTGGAGATGCTGCGTTTCTGGCTGCGTCCTGAACGCACTTTCTATGTTGCCTTCTCAGTCTTCTTGCTTTCCTCCATGAGCATGAAAAATTCAGACTTGGCTCTTTTTAGTTAAAATTCTTGCTGTAAGACTCACCTCTATAGCAAGTACAACTGGAGCTAAAAATACTGTTTCTTCCTCCCAGGATGAAGTAAACCAGATCATGGAAACCAACTTGTGGCTGCGTCACGTATGTGTCTGTACCATGTGTCAGTTCACAATGTGGAATGGATAAAATCCACTACCTCCTTCCATCTCCAACTTGTGCTAGAACACACAATATTGGTATTACCTGCCCTGCCACCCCAAAGCCTAAAGTTCAGCTCTGGTAATAGCTGACTCGAGGCAAGCTTCACGAGTGCACAAACCTAGTGACACAGGTCTCTTGACGTAGAGACTTCTGCTTTTCTTCATTGCTGCACTCGAATGTCCCACTGTCATCTGCACCATGGGCTCCAGAGCCTGATACTTGCCAGGCTTGGGTCCCTGCTGGACCAGGACTGGAGACATCAGTAGCTGAGTTCAAGAGCATGGGGGTGAGATGCATATCAGCTGGTTTTATACCATACCAGCTATACCACCTCTGTCTTCCTTAAGAAAGTCTTAATCTTTTACACAGATTTCGTATCAAACTTACCATCATACAGTTGAATTATTTTGTTAATATTAGAAGTGGATTTGGCCGGGTGCGGTGGCTCATGCCTATAATCCTGGCACTCTGGGAGGCCGAAGCAGGAGGATTGCTCAAGGTCAGGAGTTCAAGACCAGCCTGAGCAAGAGCAAGACCCCATCTTTACTAAAAACAGAAAGAAATTAATTGGCCAACTAAAAATTTATAGAAAAAATTAGCCAGGCATGTTGGTGCATGCCTGTAGTCCCAGCTACTTGGGAGGCTGAGGCAGGAGGATCACTTGAGCCCAGGAGTTTGAGGTTGCTATGAGCTAGGCTGATGCCACGCACTCTAGCTGGGCAAGAGAGTGAGACTCTGTCTCAAACAAAGAAAAGAAAACCAAAAAACAAAGAAACAAAAATATATTGGAAGCGGGATTGCTGCTCCAGTTTGAGTATAGTCCCTGGACCATGGAAGTCCTATAACCTTGGCCAGCTGCCTAATCATCAATAGATAATTACCTAATTTAGTATTTGCCAAAGTCAGCTCAGCTATTTAGCATCCTGGATATACTTTCCCAAGTTTTGATAGAAACCAATGTATTCTTCAAATACGAATTTATTTTTTTGTCAAAAAAGCACTGTTGAACCAACAGAAATTTAACACTGGGAGAACATCATTAAGTAGTTTTAAAAACTGATCTCTATTTCTTTTAGATTTGGAATGATTACAAATTGCGCTGGGATCCAGTGGAATATGATGGCATTGAGACACTCCGTGTTCCAGCAGAGAAGATCTGGAAGCCCGACATTGTTCTCTATAACAAGTGCGCCTTCCAGAGCCGCCTGTGGGGGACACTGGCCAAGGCTGGCAAAGGGCATGTCACTGATGCTGTCTGGTTTCCTTTGCAGTGCTGTTGGTGGCTTCCAAGTCGAAGGCAAGACGAAAGCTCTGCTTAAATACAATGGAATGATAACCTGGACCCCACCAGCGATTTTTAAGAGTTCCTGTCCTATGGATATCACCTTTTTCCCTTTTGACCATCAAAATTGTTCCCTAAAATTTGGTTCCTGGACATATGACAAAGCTGAAATCGACCTTCTAATCATTGGATCTAAAGTGGATATGAAAGATTTTTGGGAAAACAGTGAGTGGGAAATAGTTGATGCTTCTGGCTACAAGCATGACATAAAATACAACTGTTGTGAAGAGATATACACAGACATAACTTACTCTTTTTACCTTAGAAGACTGCCGATGTTTTACACCGTTAACCTGATCCTCCCCTGTCTATTCATCTCGTTTCTAACGGTGTTGGTTTTTTATCTTCCTTCGGACTGCAGGGAAAAAGTGACACTTTGCATTTCAGTCCTGCTTTCCCTGACAGTGTTTTTGCTGGTCATCACAGAAACCATCCCGTCCACATCACTCGTGGTCCCGCTGGTGGGCGAGTACCTTCTGTTCACCATGATCTTTGTCACCCTGTCCATCGTGGTGACGGTGTTCGTGCTGAACATACACTATCGCACCCCAGCCACGCACACCATGCCCGGCTGGGTGCAGAAGGTTTTCCTGCAGCTGCTGGAGAGACTGCCCGGCCTGACTCCGAGCCCAGCGGTGCCGGGCTCCGCGGGGCAGGCCGGCCTGTGGGGGTTCGGGTGCGGCCCTGGAGCCAACCCCCACCTCCAGAAACGTGAGCGCGAAGTGAGGTCTGGTTAAAGTAGTCACTCGGGACAGACTTGGTTGATGAAACCAAGAGCCCCTGCGCGAGAAACGCGGCAAACAGCACGCGGGGCGGGAGGGGGGGGAAGGGCGCGGGAGCGAGCGGGCGGGCGGCGCGTTCATGCCTCCCCTCGGCAGTCCCAGTCCCACCTGCCCTACCTGAGAGGGTTTCGGTGCTTCCAGAAAGAGCCGCCGGGGCATTTTTAACATCTGCACACTCCGCTCCTGCTGCCGGAACCCGACTATAGCAGCACGCGCCCCCAAGCGCAGCGCCCCGAGAAGCGTCCCTCACGCAGCGGCCGCCTTTCCGGGCTTGGCCGCGCCTGCGCCTGCGCCGTGCCTGCGCCTGCGCCTGCGCCTGCGCCTGCGCCTGCGCCTGCGCCTGCGCCTGCGCCTGCGCCTGCGCCTGCGCCTGCGCCTGCGCCTGCGCCGTTGGCTCAGGGGAGCTTCCAAGTGAGCGACACACGGTGGCGGGTGCCTACCGGGACAGGAAAGGCCAGGGGATCCCACTGGCCTTCGCAGCGCCGTGGCCTGAGAGGCGGCTGCCCCCCGGCTCTCAGGACGCAGAGGCTCGGACTGGGGGGAGGCCGGGGCTCCGGGGCGGCAAGGGCGTGGAGGTGCAGCCGCCCCGCAGCCAGCGTCCCCGCGCCCGTCCTGTGCGCACGCCCGTCGCACCGCCCTCCTCGCGCGCCCTCCCCGCCGCGTGGCAGACCGATCGCAGCTGCTGCGCGCACCGGGGTGACAGGCACAGGGTCGCGGAAGTAATCCCGACGTTTGCTTTGGGAAGTGCCAGGGGAGCCTTCTTTGAAAAAGAAGGGGGCTGTTTACGAGACAGAGGACGCTCCCCAGGGTTCTGGTCGCTGAAACTGGCTTTGGTTTTCTTGTTTGCGTCTCAGGCGGAAGACGACTGGAAGTACGTGGCCATGGTGGTGGACCGCGTGCTGCTGTGGGTGTTCGCGGCGGCCTGCGTGTGCGGGACGGCCGGGCTCTTCGCGCAGCCGCTCCTCGGGGGCGCAGGACGGCCTTGAGCAGAGTTTTCCTTGCGGCGCGGACACTTCCGGACGCCGCGCCTGCCTGTTCCGCGTTCCCTGCCGCAGGAAACGGGCGCGAGCTTCCCACCTGAGCCCCGCCCACCTCCCCCGCTGGGCGGAAAAGAGGACTTAACTGCCACTCAGGAGCTTGAGTGTCCTCAGGCACAGGGAGGACGAGAGGCTGTTGTGTGACGCTACAGCCCGGAGCTGGCGGCGCCCTGCAGGCCGAGAGTGCCAGGGCAGGCTCGTGTTTGGCTTCCTGGGAACGAATGGCTCGTTGCACAGCCGTAGGGTGTAATGAGCTCCAGCCGTGCTCAGCGAGGTCCCCATGCTGTCTTGTCGGTGCAGCGCCGCAGGGGAGCGAGCTCTGCCAGTGGCCCTGTCCACACCCGCAACACGGTGGACTCTTGCACCCTTGCACCCTCCGGCACGTGCCTGCAACGTCTTCCAGCGTTGTTGGATGCGTTAATTGGTTCAAAGGAATCCCACGTAGTCAGAGTCTGTCTTAGCAGCCTGTTTTAATTGGCATCCATCCGGCAAGAAACGCGGGTGGGGACCGCGCACGGTGCCAGGCATCGCAGGGGCAGCAGACACAGGTTCTCCCCCCAGGTGCTCGCGGCCTCTTAGGAAAAGTCACAGGTGGGAAGATCTGCAGGACCAGGTGTCGGAGGGGAGTGTCTCTAGAGCCACGCGAGTAGAACTGAACCATGGTGTGGCCAGGAGGACCTGCGGCGTCCTTTGTTGTGGGTTGAAAAAAAGGATGTCCTTCTAGTCTTTTCCCATCGGCAGTTTTCACTTGCTCATTGTACTGAGACTGAAAATAAAGTTATTATGTTTCTTCTACAAGAAATTACAATCTGGGACCTTTCGTAGCAAATCCTTTTCTGAGAGGGGGACCTTGGGAACTCTGTTTCACTCCACCCTGGTGATCTTGTGTAAATATAATGATTATAAAGATGTATTTTAAAGCATGAAACAAGAAATCTAAAAGTCCTTTTATTTGTGCCTTTTCCCTTCTGGTCTTTGTCTATGTGCTCATGCTTCAACTTTGCCTGCAGGCTGTGTTCTCTTAAAACATAACGTCAGGAACATTTCTTCTATTACAGCCCTGAAGTAGAGTTGTCATGACAGCATAATTTCCATTGTCCTGGTATCTTTAGGGTCATAAGACCAGGTTCTGAGTTTTCATTTTGTTTTTCAACCATTGTGTAACTTTGGGCACATCGATGAAGCTTGCTGAGAATTTCTTGACCCTAAAAATATGAGGTTAAGGCAGTAGCTATTCTACCTGCTTCTCAGGATTGCTGACCTGGTGAACAAAATCAGGGACGTGGCAGTGAGCTGTGTCCTGGGCAGAACTGTCAAATGCAGCCACTGCGCCGAACACGGGCTGGGGCAGCTGGAGGGCTGGGGGCCCGGCTCGTTGGCCTTGCCAGCAGCGTCCCATTCTGAGCTGCCCAGCTGGGAGGGGACTCTGTGGCCACTCCCTGGGGCTGAGGGGTCACGTTGCTGAGCCTCAGGCCTCTCAGCTGCTGCCCAGGAGGCTCAGGGCTCTCCTCTGAGGACACAGGACTCCAGGGGAAATCGTAATTTTTTTTTTTTTTTGAGACAGAGTCTCCCACTATTGCCTGGGCTAGAGTGCCATGTCATCAGCCTAGCTCACAGCGACCTCAAACTCCTGGGTTCAAGCAATCCTCTTGCCTTAGCCTCCCGAGTAGCTGGGACTACAGGTGTGCGCTGCCATGCCCAACTAATTTTTTTCTATATTTTTAATTGGCCAATTAATTTATTCCTATTTTTAGTAGAGATGGGGTCTTGCTCTTGCTCTGGCTGGTCTCGAATTCCTGACCTTGAGTGATCCTCCTGCCTCAGCCTCCCAGAGTGCTAGGATTACAGGCATGAGCCACCGTGCCCGGTCATGGAAACCATAATTTTTTTGAAAAATGTGAAGCCTTCCTCGTTTCTTTGCAGTGGAGCAGAAGGCGTCTGCAGTGCACTGCGCAGAGGCCTTGAGATCGAATTGCTCTATTTTAGAGTGTTTTGACTCCCTGTAGTATTCGTGATTATGGTACCTATATTTTATCTTCCTTTTCCTACAGAGGCTTGGTTGTTACTCAATATTTTATTTGTTACTATAAGCCCAATCAGTGTTTAATCTCATTTTCAAAATAAGTTTTAACTGTGGCAACATGCACATAACACAACATTTACCATGTTTAAGCACACAGCTCAGTGGTATTGCACGCACTCAGGTTGCACTGCCGTGCAGCCTGTCGCCAGCACCCATCTCCAAGACTGTTGTGTCTTACGGAACTGAAACTGTGCCCACCGGACAATACTCCTTCCTCTCCCCACCCCCCGCCGTGTTCTACTTTCTGTCTCTACGAATTTGACTCTAGGTGCCTCGTACAAGTGGAATTGTGCTGTGTCTGTATCTTTGCGACCGGCTGATTTCACTTAGCATAATGTCCTCAAGGTGCATCCTTGTCGCAGGTGTGTCAGAATCTCCTTCCTTTGTGAGGCTGATAACACCCGCTGGGGCAGACTGCACATTCCACCCATCAGTGGAACTCGGTTGCTTCCACACCGTGACTATTGTGAATAATTCTGCCAGGAACATGGGTGTACGAATATCTGAGTCCCTGCTTTCAATTAATTTGGGCATATACCCAGAGTGGAATTGTTGGATCATATGGTTATTCTAATTTTAATTTTTTGAGAAACTGCTATCCTATTTTCTACAGCGGCTGTACCATTTTACCTCCCCTCCACATCTCTTCCCCACTTGCTGTTCCCAGGGTTTTTGGTGGTAGCTGTCTAACAGGTGCAAGGTGACACCTGCCTGTGGCTTTGATTTGCAGTCCCCTAATTATTAGTGATGTTGAGCATCTTTTCTTGTGTTTATTGGCGTTTGCATATCTTCTTTGGAGAAATGTCTGTTTAAGTCCTTTGCTCATTTTTATTTTATTTAATTTACTTATTTTTTTGCTCATTTTTAAATTGGGTCATTTGTTTTCCAGTTGTTGAGTTGCAGGAGTTCTTTATGTATTCTATATATCCATCCCCATAAGATATAAAAAGAAGACTTTTAAGACATGCATCACAGGAAGTGGGAGGAGAGTGCCCCCAGCCCAAGGTGAGGAACGCCACCCTACCCCTTGGCACTCACTGTCACACTGGAGCATGCCTCTGGCTGTCCAGCCTCATCTTCCGGGAGTACTCAGTGACCCTTACGAGAGAGAGGGTCTTGCGTGTACGTGTAAAAAAACTAGCAGCAGACATAGAAACAGAAATGAAATGAGAATTTGAGGAAAAGAGAGTAACTGCATTTGAAGAAAAGAGAGTAACTGTATGAGCATTTGAAGAAAAGAGAGTAACTCTTCTCACCTCCCAGTGTCCCATCCACCATCCCAGGCCAGAGGAAAACACCTGAATACCAAGAGTGGTTCAGGGGTGTCTTTCCCTGGCACTAGTTGGCAGAAGGAAGAAAGCTTTGGAATGTAAATCACATCAGGGAGATGCAAGAGCAAATGCTCTTATTTTAGGAAGGTCAGGACTATTAGTTAGCACAAATAAATAAATAAATAAATCAAAGTTAATTTTAATGAGGGTAGAGGATAAAAATATTTCATGTAGACCACATACCAGTCATCAACATGAGACCAGTCACGGAGGTAACAAGCTGAGAAGAACAAAGGAAAGGATGGATTGAAAATTTATAAATCTCTTTGTGAATGGAGATTTTTTTTAACTTTTAGAATTGACCTGCAACTGTCTTGATTATGATTTAATCGTTAACATCGGTGTGTGCGTGTGTGTTCACAAGTGTGCACACGCACTGGGGGGTGTCCGTGTACCTGAACTATAGAATCAGTGACTTAGACTCGGAATGGAACTCATAGATTACTTAACCCGACTACTTTATTTTATTTCAAGAGGCAGAGCGGCTTGTCCATGATCACATGCCTAATTAACAACAAATCCAACACTAGAGCCTGAATCTCCTGACTCTGAAGCCACTTCTCTAACTTGGACCGTTCATTCTCTCCCGTGAGATGAGACCAGAACAAGACAGTCAATGAATCAGGGTGGCCCCTCTTCTCCCCTCCCAGCGTCCCGCCCACCATCCCAGGCCAGGGGAAAACACCTGAACACCAAGAGTGGTTCAGGGGTGTCTTTCCCTGGCACTAGTTGCCAGAAGGAAGAAAGCTTTGGAATGTAAATCACATCAGGGAGATGCAAGAGCAAATGCTCTTATTTTAGGAAGGTCAGGACTATTAGTTAGCAAAAATAAATAAATAAAAAAGCCAGAGTTTATTTTAATGAGGGTAGAGGATAAAAATATTTCATGTAGACCACATGCGAGTCTTTAACATGAGACCAGTTATGGAGGTAACACGCTGAGTGGAACACAGACGTTGGGGGAAAGACAAGCCACGGGCCGGAACGGACGAAGCCCAGTTTCTTTCCCCTCATTCCCACCCCTGCCCCAGGTCACACCGCCCTTGGAAGAGACAGCAGAAAGTGGGCAGGAGGAAAAGCCGTTGCCATCAGCAGGTGCTGAGGTGAAGAGAAGGGAGGCCCAGGGGCTTGCAGGAACCAGCCAGGAGCCGTGTGCTCACAGAAAGACCCACTCGCCCCTCTCCGGCCTCCACCCTGCACTGTCATGTTGGAATGTGGGCTCAGGGGCTTGAGCTTGTAGTGTAACAACCTCCCGGCTTTAAAATGTGGCAACTAAATTAAGAAACAAGCTGAGTGTGGTGGCTCATTCCTGTAACCCTTACTTTGGGAGGCCTAGGTAGAAGGACTGCTTGAGGCCAGCCTGGACAGCATAGTGAGACCCTGTCTCTACAAAAACAAAAACAAAAACAAAAACAAACAAACCAGGTCCCCAAGTTAGCCTAACAAAACATGTGTGCAGGGGCATGAGGCCACAGTCTTCCACTAAACAAACCGGGGCTCGATTCCTTCTGTTGGATGAGGCCACATGAGAGGGGCCGGGTGGGACAGAAGGGACACCAGCTGGGGGGATGCAGACAAAGCACAAGATCACGGGAAGTGGGGGAGGAGGTGGGAGGTGAGAACCAGGGAGGTGCCATCTGAGGGGTAGAGAGGAACTTTCTGGGACGTCCCCACCCAGCCCAAGCCTCCCCATGGCTCTGGCGTGTTAGGAGGGGGCAGGGCAGTAAGAGCAGGGGCACATCTGAGAACCTTCCCTTCCCCACCCCCCGCTTTGGAACTGCCGTCTCAGCACTGCCATAGCGTCCGGCTGGGGCGGGCTGAGCGTGCGTGCCTTCCCCAAACGCATGTGTCAAAGCTGAGGTGGAGCCCTTGGGAATTGATTAGGTCATGAAGGCACCACCCTCATGAGCCGGATCAGTGCCCTGTGAAAGAGGCCCAGAGAGCTCCCTCGCCCCTGCTGCCACGTGAGGGCCCAGGGGGGAGACGGCCCCCACGCACCAGGAAGCAGCCCTCAGCAGACACCAGTGCTGCAGCCCCTCCCTCTCGGACTTCCCAGCCTCCAGAACCTGAGAAATAAACCTCTGCTGTCAACAAGCCACCCAGTCTCTAGCACTTTTGTCATAGCACCCTGAATGCACTAAGACACAGGATGTTCTCAACTGGACATGTGCGGGGAGTTAGCTAAGCTCCTGGAAAAGTAAGTCCCGGGCAAGATCGTCGCAAGAGATTTGGAAGTAATAGTGACAGAGAAATAACGGAGACAGAGACAAAGTGTAGTTTAAAGTGATGGGGAGAGTCAGGGGTCTTCCAGCATTCCCGTGAGGCATGAGACCCTGTGTGAAATCCCACACCAGTATTTATTGGTACAGCAATTAGTTGTTAGCGGTTACAGATTTATGTGTACATGTCATCCATTTAGGTTTCAAGGCTCCCCAGAGGTTTCTAGAGAACCCTTAATGAATTCTATCTCCGTGAGCAAATGGTTACAAAATTTTTCTAAGATAAACTTCTAAGCCCTAAGTTAAGAATAGACCTAGCTGAATGTATAAGTTGAAGATAAAACTGTTAATTAGCAGAAAAGCTAAACAGAAATGTAGAGGCCATATATTTGTTTATCTAGTTTCTCATTAACAGAGATATGTGGTCAGGAGTAAAGCAGGAACTGTCCTCAAGGCTAACTGGATTCAGCTGCAGGTGTCTGCTGGGCTGGCATTCTTTGACCAGTCCTTAACCTGTGACCCCATGCCGAGCTCTGCCTTACACAAGCATCGGGCGCTGGGCTGCGGGTCTCCAGGTAGCTTTGCAGTCGCCTCTGACCGGTGAGATGCCCCGCTGCTGCTAGGCAGCTTTTGGTCTGTGAACTAACACACTCACAGATTCCTTCAAGGCAAAGCCCTGCAAAACTCCTGAAACCTTACACGTCTCTTAGTCCCATTTCCAACAGAGGTGCTGTTGCACCCATTTTACGACAGTCCACACTCATGCACACGCATGCACACTATTTCCCAGTGATGCCTGGAAATGTCTGAAAGGGCATGTTGGATCTTACGATGGATGACAAGACTATTGTCACTGAGGGTGTGGGGGCTGGGGTGCTAAGCACCCTGCAGCCATGTGGGACAGCCCAACGTAGACTCTTCCCTGCCGGAATGCCTGTAAGATCCCCTGGGAGAGATTGGAACCCTCCAGGGGAGGGCCTGCCAGGGCACCTTGAGGGGCGGCCACCAAACCCTTGCTGGGTGCTTCTTGGGGGGCAGGAGCACCCATCCTGCCAAGTAAAGTAGGGTGAATCTTTCCCCACTCTTTTTTCCCCTGAGGGTAGAAGTTTGCAGATGAAGAGGACCTTCCCCTGTGAGACAGGGGTGGCAAGAGTGCTTTCCTGCCAAAGGTGCTGTTTCTGGAAGGGTCGCCAGAGTTCATCTTCACGACTTCACTCTTCTATTATTTCCCTTTAGGGCCTGGGCAGGCCAGGTCTCTTCGTGTGGCCTGAAGCAGAGCTGGGCCCTGAGCATTCAGGTGGGCACGTCTAGCCTCACACAGGCCAGGCTGCCCTGCCCCGAGGCGGGTAACCCTGCCTGGGGGGTGACAGTCTACATCAGTGGACAGTTTGCTGCTCTCACCTCATTTTCCCAAGCCTAAGATTATGTCCACGAGCCAAAGCCACAGTGCTATTTTTATTTTCACTATTATTTTATTGACATACTGAACAGGAATCCTTACTACAAAGAAGAAACACATGCCAGATTAGACATAGATGGTCGTCGTCATGGTTGTTAATTACATGAATTAATTTTTTTTTTTTTTGAGACAGGGTCTCCCTTTGTTGCCCAGGCTAGAGTGAGTGCCGTGACATCGGCCTCGCTCACAGCAACCTCAAGCTCCTGGGCTCAAGCGATCCTCCTGCCTCAGCCTCCCGAGTAGCTGGGACTACAGGCATGCACCACCACGCCCAGCTAATTTTTTCTATATATATTAGTTGGCCAATTAATTTCTTTCTATTTATAGTAGAGACAGGGTCTCGCTCTTGCTCAGGCTCTTGCTCAGTTTCGAACTCCTGACCTCGAGCAATCCGCCTGCCTTGGCCTCCCAGAGTGCTAGGATTACAGGCATGAGCCACCGCGCCCGGCCTACATGAATTAATTTTAATAGTGTTAATGGAAAAAAAGGCAAACTCTGTAAGATAATTTTAAAAAGATTTTCTCTGAGCCAAATTTGAGGACCATGACCCGGAGCCACGCCCAAGAAGCCTTGAGCAAGTGGACTCGCTGTGGCTGGGTTACAGTTGGGTTTTATACATTTCAGGGAGACAGGGGTTACAGGTAAAGTCATCAATCAATACGTGGGAGGCATACGTTGGTTTGGCTTGAAAAGGCGGCCCATCTCGAAGTTGGGGGCTTACAGGTTATTGGTGGGTTTAAAGATTCTTTGGCTTGTAATTGGTTAAAGACATGAAGCTTTGTCTAAAGGCTTGGAATGTTTCGACATAAGGAGCTGTTTATCAGAGATAAGCCAACATATTTGTTGTGTAAATTGAGGGCCTGCAGATTTGTCTTGCATACCCTTAGGCCTATTAATGGGTTACAAAGGACGTCTCCAAGAAGGGAGGGGGGCACGATGAGGCATGTCTGACCTCCCTCCTCCTGGCAGGCAATTTAGTTTATTCCTTTGGCCACGAGGGGGTCCATTCAGTCAGCTGGTGGGTCGGGAGGTGAGCCTTGATATTTTATTTTAGTTCACAATAGATAATAGTAGGTGCTTCAGAGAAAGAATTTTGATACCATCAAAAGGTCCATTCCAACATAAAAATACTACTTTTTGGAAATTTCAGTGTTCCATTGCTCCCAGGCTACTCACCTGTACGGCAGGTTACTGTACTGAATACTGCAGGCAACTGTAACACAGTGACCAGTATTTGTGTACCTGAACATAGAAAAGGTACCGTAAAAATAATGGTATAATCTTATGGGACTACTGTCATATATGAGGTCTGTCATTAACCGGAATGTTGTTATGGAGCACGTGAGTGTATATCATTGATCCACAAACAAACAGGCAAAAACCCCACCTCAGTAGGTGGTCTGGGCAGCAGAATAGACAATGGCTGAAAATCTAATATGTTAGGGGTAATCTCAGCCTGACAACAAAAAGAGTTCATTCTCATGAGAGGAAAGTTAATAAATTAATAATCATGCAAGACAGATCCAGGAATACTAAGATCCTCTATTAGAAATGTCAAAAGGAAAGGAGAGAGAAAGGAAGACAGGAAGTAATAATGTAAATAAGAGAAGAAAACCTGCGTGAGTTGAAGAAAAGCATCCGTCATCAAGTGCCAAGCCAGAGCGGGAGCCCCGCACTCGGGCACAGACAGGCGACATTTCTAAAGCCAAGGAGGAAACAGGCAAGAGCCTCAGAATTTTGAGGAACGGGCAAAAAATAGAACCGTCACGAAGAAGGCGACGTAAGGTCCAGCTTCACCGCGACGCTCGTTCGATCCTACGACCAGGATGTTATAAAATAATGTCTTCGGAGTCCTGAGGGCAAATGATTTTGAAGCCAGACTCCATGACAGGGCCAGCCTATGATCCGAGTGTGAGGGCCTAACATATAATCTCAAAATCAAGCGTTCAGAAAGGTTACCACACTCGAAAACTTCCCTAGAGAATTACTTGAGGACATATTCCACATTCCTGTGAGATAATGTTGCAAACAGATGCCAGAGCAGAAAAGGAGAAATGGGCCGGGCTGCGTGCTACACGTCGTAATCCTAGCAACTCTGGATGGTCCGAGGCGGCGTGATTGGCCTCGAGGCTCACCAGAGGGTTGCAAAACCAGCGGACAACCAGCCGAGACCCCGTCTCTACTATGATAATAAATAGCATAAGAAATTAATTGTGGCCACTAGAGGGGAGGGGGATATAGAAAAAATTAGCGCCCGGGGTGGGGTCTGGCACGCCGGTGAGGCCACCGACGCGACTGACAGAATCGCGTGAGCCAAGTGCGTGGCAGGGTTGCCGTGAGCTTAGGCGACGCCGGACGCGGACGTCACTCTAGGCGCTGCGAACAAGCTGGAGGAGCTCTGCCGAGAAGAAAAAGAGAGAAAAAAAAAAAAAAAAAAAAAAAAAAAAAAAAAGAGGGAAAGAGTGAGAAAAGGGAAAAAAGAAAGAAAATTGTGGGATGAAGAATGCGATGTCGAATAAAATGAGTTGCTTAGAAAGGGGGGCAGCGAAGAGAAGAGATTGGGGGGGGGGGGGCGCGGGATAACGTATGCCGTAAAAATGAGAATGGGATGAAATATTGGTGCTGGAACTAAGAGAGTGCGGATAAGCGAGGAGCAAAATACAAGGTTAGAAAAGTGAGCAGCTGAAGGGTGAGGGAGCTGGTCGTGTCAGAGGGGGCTACGACGCTGGATGGGCGCTAACGCTGGTGCTCGACACAGCGGCGCCGCGACCCGGCTCAGGGGAGCAGAGCGCCGCTGCGCCTGGGCCGTGTCGCGCCCAGCCTGGACCCCGCCGCGAGAGCCCAGGAGCCAAGAAGGCCGAAGGCCTCTGGCTTGTCTTAAACCACTTTGGGTACGGCCCTCACCGCCGCGAAGCTCGCCAGAGCCGGCCACCCACGGTCCGCCAGGATGTCTTGTGCTGTGCATCTGACGGCGGATCGCTTGTCTCTTGTGTGAGGGAGAAGCTCGAAAGCGCTCGGAAAGCTTGTTTTCACTTTACAGGCAGCTTACTTTTTAACGTAAATCAGAACAGTGACATGATACATGTATGTTTTCATGACGTTGTATGTTTAAATGCCTCACCATTTTATTTGATAAATGAAAAATTAGAAAAGTCATAACCACGCGCTGTCGGCAAGTCAACGCTGGTCCCGAAGTGGTTAAAAACAACTCCCTCTAGAAAGCAAGCCACGAGAGCGACGCAAGCGGCCACAGGGGTTGCCGCGAAATGGCTCGTTGATGCGAAGAGATGGCGGCGAGAGGCGCGGAAGACTGTGTTTACAACGCGCCGCTGGTCTGTAGAATCAACTATGTGATGTTGGAGTCTCGGCGCGAGCTCAAGGGAATGCTCTAGAGTGGGAGTGTGGCGGGCGAGAGATGCTCTGAGAGAGTGCGGGCGCGAGAGGTGGTAGACCTGACGAGCGCGAGCGAGCGGTTCAGAGCAGGGGTGAAAATCAAAACTGAGCCCATGACTGACACTACCAGGAAGAGCCCCAGGAAGATTCGGTCAAGAACTTGCGCTACGAATTTCCAGTCTTGTACCACCTGCGAAAGAGAGAAGACGCCTTTCATTCAAGATGCTGGGCAACAGTTCTAAATTCATTTCAAGGGATTTAAAAAGACGTACAGCATGTACTTAGGGTTTCAGAATGTACCTAACACATCGCCCACGATATGGCCTCACATTCTTCCCAGTGACTTCACTAATAGTCCCCAGGAAAACCACTTGTGTAAATCGAGTTTATAGAAACATCTTCATCAACACTGAAGAGGTGAAATAGAAACAACAGAATGATTCAAGCATTTGTAAACTTTACCCATCCAAATAGGAAAAGCCTGATTTTTAAACTAATAAAAAGCCAGTATATCTTACTGGGTTGCTTCCTGATATCCCTATGAAATGAATCGAAATTTATAATGTAAGAACTTTCGTGGTCAAGGGTCAGGGGTTTTCTTTTCTTCCACTCCAGGTGCAGGTCTGGCTGCGCAGCTGCAGAGTGAGTGGCACTGTCCGGTAGGAGGGCTGCCCAGAAGACAGGAATTCATCTGGGAGAGCTCAAGTCCCCTCTCTTAGGAAGGGGAGTCTGGGCACAGGGGGAATGGGCCAGTGAGAGCAAGGTCCAAGCAGACTGGGGGAGTCTGAAGGAGAGGGGCAAGTCCTCATGTTTTAAGGGCAAATGAAGGTCCTATTTCTATTTTGTAGGAATGGAACAGGCCAGGAGGACTGCATAGGAGAACACAACATGCGTGTATTCTGTGCTCACAGAGCGGCAGAAATAAAACCTGGGGTAGGGGGAGAACATAAAGAAGATACATTAAAATGTTAAAAATGTCAACCTTAAATTGTGGGATTATGAATAATTTTTATCTTCTTATTTAGATTTTCTGTATTTTCTACATTTCCTATGTTGATTGATGATCCTGTGTCACTTTGTAATTTTTTAGTTTTTTTACTTTTATAATTTAAAAAAACGATTTCAATCTTTGTCTTAGTCATTTTAAAAGATGTAAAGAAACAAACTGAACAAGAGCTACAAGTTAATAGCTGAAATGCTTGCTCTACAGTGGCAGTTTTACTTTTCTAGTGCTTTTAAAAATGTTTTTCAGGGGGGAGGAGGGCATGGGCAATATATGTAACTGTAACACTTGTACCCCCTAATACGATAAAATAAAAAAAATGTTTTTCAGAGGAAGAAAACCATGACAAATTGTTAAGAGAAAGGATAAACTAGGCAGTATCTGTGAGGGCAAGATAAAGTGTAGAAGGATATTTCTAAAAATAAAATTCATCAGTTTGTTTACCTGATCAAGCTGTTAGCACTCATTTACATCAATTTTAAAGTAGAATAATTGAACCCTATAAATTGGTGAAAATGTGTAACTTGTTTTAAACAAAAGACCCGTTTTTGTATTGTGTATCAAATAATATTTTCATTCCATTGGAGAAGGACCATTTAAAGGAAGGATAAAGACGAGAAGAATAAAGATGATAATCAATCTCCATGAACTTCTTTTCTACTCACGAGGCCCAGTCATGTGTGCTGGGCACACTGTGCGTGTTTTATACTTTATGATATATATTTTATTTCTCACAATAACCTTCCAAGGTAGGTTTTAGAAAACAGAAGCTCAGGTTAAGTAACTTGTCTCAAGGATAGACTCAGAGTGGGATCGAACCCAGAACTGTTTTAAGTCTGAAATCCACACTCTTCCCACATTTTTTAGTCTGTAAACTAAATGAGCACATTCTCTTCCCTCACCAAAATATCTGTTGTAACACTAAATTTTATATTAATATAAAGATATGATTCTTTCTGTTTTTTTTTTTATTTCAAGTACCATGGATGAAAATATCTATCGTCCCATGAAAAATGAAAGATAAATCATCAGAGACCAGGATAACCAATTTACTACGTACGACTGAATTATTTAAAATAGAATTAGGGGAAATTATAAGGGAAAGTGCTTAATCTACAGTTGCTTATTTTTGCTCCATAATGTTTTTGTGAACTAATTCCTAAAAATTTATATTAAAAATCCTTATTTTATGTCTGGGTTTGTTTAAAATTGTATATGTGTGAAGACGATGTCTAATAATGTCACATTTCAAACAATGACAGCATTTTATTGTAAGTAGCTGTCAAAATATTAGTCTTTGGCGGAGCTCAGTGGCACAGCGTTACTGTGAATATCAGTTTACTCACCTGGCGGATGAAATGTTCTTTCCTCACGTGGCTGGAAATGTATCTAATGGAGTCAGCAGCCTTTTCCAAGACAGCAACCAGAACTTTTTCCCCATCATTTGTCTGTTTCTGTTTCTTTTTTTCTAGAACTTTACCTCTCACTACTGGTTTACGCTCATCTTTATCTGGGACAAAGTAGCGATCCACATGGTCTTTCATGCAAAGTAATCTGGGCAGTTTTTGCAGAAATAGCCTCTTTACCCAGGGAGCCATGGGATGGTATGTTGAGGAAGATCTATGGTGAACGTTAATTACAAAAACCGTAACAATGATTGACAGGGTCACGAAAATCATAATGAACAACAGGTATTCTCCAATGAGAGGAATGACTTTGGAAGAAGATGGGATGATTTCTTCAATCACCAGTAGAAAAACTGTCAGAGAAACCAAGACAGACGTTGACAATGAAAGTTTTTCTCCTTCATCAGAAGGTAAATAGAACACAAGAACTGTTAGAAAAGACAGTCCCAGGCAGGGTATGATCAGGAAGAGAGTGTAAAACAGAGGCAGGCGCCTGAGAACGAAAGAGTAAGTGACGAATGGATACGAATAGAAACCATCTCTCCTGTCTCCCCTCATCCCTTTTGCATGGAGTATTTCCCATTCTCCATTATCAAAAAAGTCTTTTCTGTCAACATTTTCATCTGTCAAAATGAGGTCGACCATGGTACCATCGTACGTCCAGGATCCAAACTTCATGGAGCAGTTCTGTCGGTCAAACGGGAAAAAGGTGACATCCATGGTACAGGAGCTTTTATAACTGGCGGGCGGAGTCCAAATGACGGTTCCATTGGATCTCACCACAACCTTGGTCATGAGGGAGCCTTCAAAACGCCCATCTGCACTGCAATCAAAGCAGTTGAGCACTTACTAGTTTGTATTATTTTCCCCAGCACTGTACTACCTGTATTTTATTACTTTTCTACTACAGGCCAAACAATAGTTTAAAAAGAAACAGTTATTTTGTTGCTTTAACATTGAAAGTTTTTCCTAATTATTTTGCCCAAATCAGACTTTTCTATTCCTAATGTTAATCTGACCAGTATAGTTTTCTTCTGTGATACTTACTTTTCAAAGAGAACGATGTCAGGAAGCCAGAGAGACTCTGATGGAACTTTAATTGAGTTAATTCCTCCATATTCATCAGGATTCCAGCGTAATTTGTGGTCTGTCCACTCCTGTATGAAATTAGTATACTGTAATTTCATGCTGAAAATTCAATGTATTAGACCTTGGGTTCTTCAAGTTTCTGTTAGTTTGCCAATGCACCGTTTTAATAGGAATGGGAAACATGTCCAGGTTAGACCTTAGGCAACCCTGTCTGGGATTCCATGCAGCTGGCGGGGTCTGACCCAGCCCAGGCCCACACACCTTGCCTATTTGGTGTTAATATTTCCAAAATCGCCACATCTAAACCTCACAATGAAGAGGATTGGCGACTGCCACTGATTCGTAATCTGTCTTTTCAGCCTGTTTTCTCTGAAGAAACAAAAGAAAAGCAATGAAGAATCTAACCCAGTTTATTCTAGGAGGGTTGGTCCCGTGATGTTTTTATTGTCATCATAATGGGTACAAATGATTTTGAATCTCACTCAAGTGTCTTGGACAAACATCCACTCAGGATGTTAATATTAAACATCCAGTATCCACCGACTGTTCTTTTTTTTTTTTATTTTGTTTTTCCACCGACTGTTCTTGATAACTTTCATCCAATAAAAAAAATTTTGCAAGAATTTCACCTTAATTTTTAATCAATTTATTTTTTGAGCTCTCTATTACAATTTTAAATTATATTCCTAATATTGTTAGCCTCCAGATGCTTACATATTTTTCTTCATAAGGATAAAGTCACTTTGCATGTTTTATGGGGGCTGAAGAATCCAGATAGATAAACCTGACCATCCATCGATTGGATTGGGAAGGTCAAGCTGATGATGTGTGGGTGACCCAATCAGAGCACAGTGACCTTTATTAATTATATTTACTGACATTGAGATAACCAAGGAATGAATGAACTTAATTAAAAAGATTTTGGATACAGAATCTTATGGAATCTGAATTGAAAATTAAATTATTCTATTCCACTGTCCTTCAAGTGGATAGCTGAGTAATTATACAGGATAATGTTAAATGACATTTCAGACAGTTAGACATGCATGCCCAGTGTGAGGCTTCCTGGAGCTTGGGGATGCCAATTTTGTCATTAAAAAATCAGGAATCAGCAGATGGAAGACTTAACTGGATGGCAAAATACTGAAATATGTATGATGCCTGAAAAATGACAGTGTTATACACCCCGGATGAGACATTATCTTAAACAATATTTTTGAGACTTGATTTTTAAAAAACAAATTTTAAAAGATATTGGCTTTTAAAAAGCTAGAATCTAAAGTATAAAAAATCGCATGACTTTTTACATAAAGTCATGCATATGAAGACTGACAATTTAAGAGCCCAATCTAATAAAGTATTTACTATGTCCACTTGGTACTCGAAGGCTTCATTTTTTCCTCCCCCTCTGCCCATTTTGAAGAAGAAATATAATTTCCTCTCTACTAGTAATGTGCCTCCTGCTAAGGAGACTCTTACCATTGTTGTAGGTCTGAATCTCAGAGATGCTGGAGGGAACAAACCCATGGTAGCATTTTTTGTTTGTTTCACTTCCACCTTATTCACTTTTTAAAACTTTACTTACAATAAAATTCTCTCTTTTTGTGTACAGTTCTAAATGCAGACAGTTGCTTAATCACTACCACCAATAAGATACCAAAACAGTTTGTTGCCCCCAAAATTCCCCCCATTCTGTGCCTTTGTAATCAACCCATCCCACGTGCCCAGCCCTTGGCAATCCCTGATTTTTCTGTTCTGATAATTTTGCCTTTTCCAGAATGTCATATAAGTGGAATCATAGATCCTGACTTATTGACTTAGCAATGCATCTAGATTCTTCTGTGTTGTTGCATCAGTAGTTTGTTCATTTTTATTAGTGGGTGGTTTTACATTGTATGATGTACCATAATTTTTCCATTCACCAGTTAGGATATTTGAATTCTTTCAAATTATTTTTCCATTTAAAAAAAATTTTAGCATATTATGGGGGTACAAATGTGAAGGTTATGTATATTGCCCATGCTCCCCTCCCCTCTCGAGTCAGAGCTTCAAGCGTGACCATCCCCCAAACGCTGCACATCTCACTCATTATGTTTGTATAGACCCATCCCCTCTTCCCCCTCCCACCTGCCCGACCCCGATAAATGTTATTCCTATATGTCCACTTAGGTGTTGATCTGTTAATACCAATTTGCTGGTGAGCACATGTGGTGCTTGTTTTTCCATTCTTGAGATACTTCACCTAGTAGAATGGGTTCCAGCTGTATCCAGGAAAATACAAGAGGTGCTATATCACCGTGGTTTCTTAGAGCTGAATAGTACTCCATGGTATACATATACCACATTTTATTAATCCACTCACAAATTGGTGGGCACTTGGGTTGTTTCCACAGCTTTGCAATTGTGAATTGTGCTGCGATAATCATTCGAGTGCAGGTGTCCTTTTCATAAAGTGACTTTTGATCTTTTGGGTGGATGCCCAGTAGTGGAATTGCTGGATAGCATGGTAGATCTGCTTGTATCGCTTTGAGGTACCTCCATGTTGCTTTCCAAGAAGGCTGAACCAGTTCGCAGTCGCACCAGCAGTGGAGGAGCGTTCCTCTGTCTCCGCATCCAAGATGGCGCCGCTTCTGCTCCGGAAGCGGAAGTGGACTTTCCGGCAGGCGCCCACAGCCCGCTGCCCGGTCTCTCCCGGTCAGTGGCCTGTGGAAAGCCGCGGGGCAGCGCGGCAAGTGTAGCTGAGGAGACCGTCCTGGCGCCGCTAGCCCGGAGCGGGAGGCTGCGGGACCCACGCACCGGCTTCTCGGGCAGCTGTCCTGCCTGTCTCCTGGCTCGCCCGCCGGAGGGCGGCGGCCTTCGAGGGCTCTTGCCCGGCTGCAGAGAGCGCTGCGCACAAAGCCCGGCGCACGCGTGGTTCTGAGGGACCCGGCGGGGAGGAGGGGGTTTTGTTTGAGCCGGAAAGGTTTGTCTCGCTCCCCCGACCTCCCACGGCAGCACCAGCAGCTGTGGCCAGAGACGACGCGGCGGCGGCGTGTGAGGAATCATTCATCCCACAAATCTGCGAGGCCCGCGCCAGCCCTGGGCACGGCTAGCGGCCACGTCCTCCTCGCCTGGGCTCCTGGGATGACACACGGGTCAACCGGCAAGTACCCAGTTTGCGCGTGCGGCACACAGCGGGGTAGACAGGGAGGGGTTTCCGAGGGGTGACATTTGCACCGAGAGGTGACATTTGCACCGAGAGGTGACATTTGCACCGAGAGGTGCAGGGAGGGCGTCAGAGCAGTGGGGGTGGGCGGGGGAGGCAGGCCCTACACGGGACTGCGGAGGGAAGGCAGAGGGGCAGGAACCAGAGGATGCAGGAGAGATGCCTTCGCCTTTCCAGTCCCTGGGGAGGACATAAGGGAGCCAGAGAGGGCGCAGGTTGCGGCCTGACCGGGGCTGGTGGGACTTAGTGATGCACTCAGGGGAGAAGGCACCCTGGCTTAAGGTCAGAAGCCCTGAGCTCACACCGCTGTCCTTTGCTAGCAGCACCGCGTAGACAAGCCTCCGGCCTTCGCCTGCAGGGCTGCAAGAGTCACTGCCCCCAATCCTGGTGTCCTCCTCCCAACAGACCTGGAGGCCACAGAGTCGCTCTCCCTGAGGCGCCCTGCAGAGGGCTCACCCAGTTCTTAGCAGGACGTGAGCCTGCCACAGTGCTGGCTGGGTCCCCGTGACCCGGGCTGGCCGTGGGTGTAGAATGGCACAAACTCGAGGGCATGCGCAAGGGGCAGTCGGCAGTGTCCCCCTGGTGATGCGAGGCTCGGATTCTCTGTTCTCTAAGGGGCTGTGAGATGTTCTGGTCACTTCCTTGTGCCCTCTGAAACCTGGTGGCATCTGGAGATTAACCTCCTGTCTCTCTTCTTAGAGTAAGGGATTAGCAATAGTGTCTCGTGTTTGTGTAGTATGTTTTAGCCAAGCCTGGCAAAGCCCTCCGCAAACATCAGCTCCATATCACAGCAGTTCCTGGTTTGAGAGCCGTGTTTTATGCAGGAAACAGGACAGCACAGGATATATGTCAGAGCCAAATATCAAAGTTAATCTATGACTAAGAAAAAAAAAAAAGGAAAAATACTCTAAGTCTAGGTTTCTTAATTCAGAAAAGTACAATTTCAAATCCATGTCAAATATACATATTCCCTTAAAATTGTCTTTTCTTACATATATTACTTGAACTATCACTCATAAATGTCTAAACCACAACCCAGAGGCAAATGTTACTTAAACCTAAATCATAAGACTTTTTGTTTTCCTGTAAATAAAATCCTCAAATTTTTCTTACTTTAATACTAAGTCCAAAAGATAATAAGATAAAAAATAAGGAACAATGCCTCATTATTGCCTTGATTTGCAGCCACTGGGACATCCCTGAGAGCTCCAGTTATCCTATCAGATGTGAGATTCTTTTTTAAACATTTTTTTTTTTTTGAGACAGAGTCTCTCTCTGTTGCTTGGGCTAGAGTGCCGTGGCATCAGCCTAGCTTACAGCAACCTCAAACTCCTGGGCTCAAGCAATCCTCCAGCCTCAGCCTCCTGAGTAGTTGAGACCACAGGCATGTGCCACCATGCCCAGCTAATTTTTTTTTCTATATATTTTTAGTTAGCCAATTAATTTCTTTCTTTCTTTCTTTTTTTTTTAGTAGAGATGGGGTCTAACTCTTGCTCAGGCTGGTCTCAAACTCCTGACCTTGAGCGATCTGAGCGATCCGCCTGCCTCAGCCTCCCAGAGTGCTAGGATTATAGGTATGAGGCACCACGCCCGCAAGATGTGAGATTCTTAAAGCCAAATCAGTGTTGATTCATTTCTCTTACAGACAGCAACATAACATATTATATGTCTCACATGCCCATTAAATCCATAAGTTATTAAGGCCACGAAGTGTGGTTTGTCATTAAGGATGAAAAAGCTCACCAAAGTGGCAAGAGGGAGTGACATTTATTGAGCCTGTCACATTCCCAGTGGCACTGCTGGGTAGGCATTGCCTCTGTTTTATAGATGAAGAGACTGAGGGCCAGAGAGGTGAAATGACTTGCCCAAGTTTACATAGTAGGCCTTTGATCCCTGTTTAATTCTTACCCTGGGTCCACTTGAATAAAGGGTCCAAACTTGGCCTTCTTGGCCAAGGTCCGAGTGAGGCTACAGAGAAGGAAGGGGAGTAAGATGCATCCTGTGTGAGATCAGTGCATGCATTTATAAATGCCTTTCCAGCCTGTGGGTGGCAGCGAGACCTTCGGGGGGATCTCACAGACCTCTAGGGCTGGCCTGACCCTTCCATAGCGGGTTGTTTCTTATTTCTCCTCAAAGGCCGGCTCCAGGGTGCTTATCTAAGGAGACCCCTATCATGTTTGCTGGACTTCCTGTTGATCTAAAACAGAAGTCAGCTGTTGGAGAAATGCCACTAGTTTAAGATGTCGGGCTTGGTGGACGTTTCGCAGTTTTATTTTCCTCAGGATGGTCATGGGGATAGGAGAGCAGACTGTGTCTCAGCTGCAGGGAAGCCGCATCCCTTCATAGCCTCATGGTCTTATTGTAGTTTGTTTCCACAGAGCCCAGCCGGGGCCTACGGTGGTACCCAGGGCAGAGGAGGCCCCCGGGAAATGCTTGCTGAGTGCATTTGCAGTGGTTGTCATAGTGATTATTCCTATGGTAACATCTAGGTGAAGGGCCCACCCTGGTGTCATTAATGAAAAGGTCAGTTGCATTTTCCATCTCCTCTAAGGTGCTCGTGATGCAGTTTTCCTGACCTTGGCTGCGACCATGCAGAAAGTGAGGGGCTGGGGCACTGAGTACTTCCTCGCCTAGTTTCAGTGAGTCAATGTTAATAATATATTTATGGTTTATAGGGTTTTGATTACTCCTTGGAAGTACAAAGGAGGAAGACAAAGGAGTTTGCCAAACAAAATCAATAAAATAAAAATAGCTCCATGCAGAAGCCTTTCTCTGGATGTCGCTAGATATTTGTCCTTTGGAAAGGTCTTTGGTTGGGAAGACAGAGAGGAAGGTCTAAATATGCCAGAGAACTGTGGAAACAAAGAGCAAGGCAGGAGAACCAGGAGGAAAAGAAGTGTCTCAGTTCTGCGTGTTCGTTTGTCCTATGAGACCCGAATCAGACACCTCTTCCCCTTGGAAGCCTTCGCTGGCTTTCTCCCTGTCTTGTTTACGTGTGTCATGGTGTTTATCCTATTGCAGGAATTACTTTTTACATAACTAACACTTGTCCTCTCTCTGAAGGCAGGGCTGTGTCTGACTCTTCTTTCTATTAAGAGGTCCAGGATCTAGCAAAGTGCCTGGCACTTAGGCTCTCAGTAAATCCCGTTGAATGGGAAGATGAAGTGAACCCTAACTTCATTCTCTCCTGAGTATCTTTCTATGCCAATTCTGTGAGATGTCCCAGAGGCTGAGGAATAAAAGCCCCAGAAGACTGGGGTGAAGAAATAGACTATACAGACTAATAGAAACAGTTACCCAGAGGGCACCGGGACACCGCTGTCATCTCCCTCTGGGCTCAGGCAAGAGAATGACTCTGCTGTGTAAACCCAACTTCACTTAACAGTGTGGAAACTCGGACAAGTCCTTCAATTCTCCAGTCCTCAGTTTCCTCATCTGCAAAGTTGGAATAATAATAGAACTTACCTTATAGGGTGGCTGTGAGAATTAAATGGGATCATTCCCATTGTACACTCAGCACAGTGCCTGGGCACTTAATAAATGCTCAATAAATCTTAGGTAGTAGTATTAGCTGTTCTGGACCTAAGATCTGTGTAAAACTCCAGTGAGTTTTATAAACATCAGTTTATCTTGCTTTTTCCATCCCTTTTATCCTTTATCTTTCTTTTAGCTTTAAAAAGCTTTAAAAAATATAAAAGTAACATAACGGCCAAGCTCAAATGCCTCCTCTTCCATGCAGCCTTCCCTGCCTGACGCCCACTGCCATAGAATCCACCTTGCTGCTTTGTCCGTACATTGTTTGCGCCATCAATAGACTTGCCAACTAACATCCCTGTAGCATCTCCCACTCCTGACTCAGTCGCTCTGACAATGTTCTCTGCACCTCCACGGGACGTGCAGCAGCTGCTGCTGCTCCCGTGATTCAGAGCTGGGCTTAGTGTGTAGAGAGGAGAGGCCCCAGCCAGGAGTCAGGAAGCCCAGAGTCCGGCCAGCTGAGTTACTAGACTGCTCATCTCTGTAAAACAGGGCAACGACGATGTCTCCTTTCCTAATGCAGGTGGTCGAGAGGTTTAAACGAGATAAGAGATGCGAACCCCTTGTGAGTCAAGTGCAATTCAAGTCTGTTATTCTCATCACTTCTATTTGCTGACCATCACAAATGTCACCTTGCTGCACTCCCACAGATTTCCCTTGCTCTGCGCTGGGTGTTGTGGATTTTTAGGATTTGGTCCAGTCTTGACCTGTGGGCATTCACCAGGGTACTGGGATGCTGGCGGCTCTGCTTTGCCAGAAGTCTTGTCCAGGGCCATGGCTGAGGCCCAGGGAGTCCGTGGCTTCAACCCCTCAGGGCTAATGCTGTTCTCGTCGGCTGAAATGCCTCCTTGCTTCCAAAATTGCAAGACAAGTGAAAAGCGCCTACTGTCTCAATATTAAGACCAAGAGTCCGTGGACCACTGTCATATGTGAGAGATTAATAAAAACTTGATCTCAAGAAGAGTTGGGGAAGGATGTGTATGTGAAGAAGGAAGGGGTTTTTTGTTTCATTTTTGTTAACTTCCTAAACCTATTTACAGTTTAAGAGAGAAGTGCAGGTTTTTCTCTCCCTGCAAGCTCAAACGGAGGACTTATGATTGGGCTCTATCAACTCAGCATTCTAAATGCCAAAGTGGGATCAGGCACTGAGGAATGAGATAGGTCTATAACAAGGTATGTTTATTTAAATTGTATTTTTATACATACATTCCCAGCTTATTATTAATATTCTCTCCTGGATATTTTTAGTTGCAAGAAAACAGTATGCAGATCCACTTCACAACTTACTAGCACACCTACCAATTAAAGAACCAGAGCAATAGAAAGTAGTAAAAGTTATAATAATCCTCTAAAGGATTAAAGTTTTTGGGGTGGCACAAATTCAATGACACAAACTAAAGTGTAGGAGTCACCTCAGTTTCTTTTATTCATTGTTCCTTATAAACCATTAGCAGAAAGGACCGAATAATGTCTACAAAACCTGAAGAGATAACCAATGTACCTTGAAAAAGTGTTATGTACGTGTGTCACAATTAAGTGAGATATTTAACCCTAGCAGGAATATTTTAAATCTATGGGCAGATTAGGTAATATCTGGACATTCATTACAAAACAGGTAATTGCTGACAAAACAAAAACAAAAAATAAGCAATTAAACCAAACTTCTCACCTATTATCAAGCAAGTCTCAATATTTTCTCACCCTAGTCAGTATTATGAAACATCACTGTGTACCCCCTGAATATGTTCAATTATTACTTCTCAATTAAAAATTAAAAAAATATTTTCTCCTTGCACACAACATACGTGAAATTGGGTTTGAATGGCAATTATTTCCTGACAACTCCAGACAGAACAAACCCCCTGGCCAGGCTCCTCTGGGCTAGAAGACAAGCGCTACCCAGCTCAAGGCCATCGTCTGAGAAGAAAGCTGAAAGCACCATTCAGCATGCGCATTTGGTGGTGTCAGGAAAATATGTTTCATTGTTCTGTTTTGGCTTCACTGTGTTCTGAAAGTAACGGTGGGAGGCCCTCTGTGACTGCCTCATGGTGGACCCAGTTCTTTCTCAGGCAGGACAAGAGCATCAGAGGGGACCTCCCTGGGGAGGGTCGGAGGGGAGAAGGGACAATTCTGCATCGCTGATTTCCTAACCCAGCTGCAGTCCCCTAAGCCCTAAATGGGGCAAGAGTTGCATCTTGGGGTCTCCCAAGTGCTCTGGAGCAGGGCCCAGGCCTCACTGTCGAGGACAGGTAACTTCTGCCCGCAAGTGGCCCCACCGCCTCTGAGCTTCTGCTCCCCGAGCAGAGACAGAGCATGTGTTCCCTGGAGCCACCGGCCCTGGTCGCTGACGCTCACAAGAGGAAACAGAGGTGACAGACCCTTCCCAGCAGTTCTCACAGCTCTGCCTGCAGGACACCCCTCGCCCTCTAATAGAACGGGCTTCAGACGGGAGCCTGTCTCAGTAGAAAAGAGCCCCAGTGGCTGGGTCAGCAGACACAGCCCTTGCATTGAAATGTACCTGTTTGAGCCACACGTTGGTCGTCATCAGCTGGTTCTTTTCATCCTAGGGAAATGACAATTAAGAAAATGTTGTACAATGAAATTAAAGAAAGTGCGACGTGTTTGTGGCGGGGCAGTGAATTTGGGCAGCGTGGAAGGATTGTTCTGGGGCTGTGGGGACAACGGGACAGTTTTGCTGCATTTGGGGAGCTATAGGTCAGTGACTTCCCCCAGGGACACAATCGTGGCAGAAATGCAAGCCCAGCAGGAAACGGGCAGAGAATGTTAAGGCAGGGGTGAGTTCAGGAAAGGTGACGGGCTCCCAGGGACGGCAGGGATGCCCTTGCCCTGGGTGCTGCCATCATGGCCCTGTCTCCCTGAAGCCACCTGCCATCCAGGCCACAGCCTGGGCTGCACCGGGATCACACTGGGTCAGCCCGGGCTCAGTCCCCTCTGCAGCTGCCCAGTCCCTGCCTCAGTGCTCAGCAACGACCGTCCCAGTGACCGTGTCCACCCCCAGCAAGAGGCCCTGCACCAGGAGTGCCGCAACGGAAAGTTACCTCGAGAAAACCTCATGCTTCCTTCAGGCCATCTCACTGGCTTCTTGGGGGCAGATTTTTTTTTTAAATCACAGTGAATTATTTTTAAAATTGAAATGTCAGACACAGGGAAAGAAAAAGTATCTTAGACTTACAAACAGGTTAAAGAATGCATGCTTTTTTTTTTAGCTGAGTGCCAGGGGTTACTCACCACGTCCACAAGCTGAGATATTTTCAATCCAAAACGCACTTTTATGGTGTCATTAGAATGTAACACAGGGCGCACCCATTTCTGATAACCTTGGAATAAATGTCTGAGGAGGGCGTCTTCACTTTCTGCCATTGAACTGAATCCTGCAGTGGCTGTAAAAGAATCAGAGGGGCCGAGTTGATGGGAGAGGCGCGACCCTGGGTCAGCATCCTGTGACCTTAGCCGCCATCTGCTTCCAAGCAGCCCGCTGCGGCAGAGGCGCCCTGAGAGCTCAAGGGTCCTCGTGAGCCCCTGCGCCCAGGCCCAGCTTCCTCCAAACAGCTGGAAACAGACTCTGCCCCTTCCCTGGAGCTCTGCCCTCTCCCGGACACTCCCGTCAGGGCTCAGGTGCGCCAGAAAGGGCAGGTACAGCCACCCTCCCCCACCTCCCCGCACACATGGGCTCTGCCCACGAGCTGTCCTCTGGCCCGGGATCCCGTTTCTCTCCCGCACATCCCTTATCGCGCTCTGTTGTGTGTTTGTCGGGTGTCTGCCTTCCCTCGAGCTCTGTGACGGTGGCACAGTGTCCCTTGTCTCTGGTCCTGCTCACCCAGCGCCTAGAACAGCGCCCGGCCCACGGCAGGGGCTCGCTCTGTACGCACCGGACGAACAGCCCGAGATGTCCACGTGTGAGCGAGGCCACTGGGCCCGAGCAGGTGCCCCACGGTTCTCCTGTCTTTCCTCACGAACTCGTGCTTGCGTGTGACCCTCCTCTCAGCCCCTCAGTGTGCGGGAGCCTCAGAAACACTCTACTATGAAGCCTTAACCCTCTAGTTGAGGAAATGGCTTAGGAATGCAGCCCAGGAATATGTTTTGTATTTCTTTTCAATGCCGTGCTATCAAGTTTAAATAAACATGTATGTGTGTATGTATATCTGTGTATATATATGCTTAGGGGTGTGTGTATGTGTGTGTGGCCCCTTTTTGTGTATTCTGCACTCTGTTAGCATCCCACACGGACTCACCTGAACTGTGCGTCTGTCATAGAAAGCCTTTTTTCCCACTGAGAGGCCCACAGGTGGGCGATGACCACATGGGAGACACAGCCCCAGGTTCATCCAGTCAGAGCCCAAAGATTCTAGCATGGAGAAGAGCAAGCAGCGCCGGCCCCCTCGGGCAGGGCATCCATGGGGGAGGGGCTGTGCACTCCGGGTGGACCTGCCCCTCTCTCTTCCACTCCAGAAGGAATATTAAAATGCAAATAAGTGGTAGGGAGAGGTGTAATAACCTTACATTTGTGCTTATTTATTTAAAAAGTTAACTGATCTCGAACCTTGACAGCTACTGTTAGTACCAAGAGCGGCGTTAGGAGAAGACAGCTGGGCTGCTGCCAGGGCAGAGGGCCCTAAAAGGGCCCTAAAGGGCCCTAAAACCTTACTGGCAATGCCCTCTAAGGGACCGCATGTCCACTTGCTCTGCGGAGTTCCCTGGAGGCATCCCTGGGTCCTCTCCTCTCCTACCCCAAATCTGGGCTTAAGGCTGTTCACAGCATGTCCTGGCCTAATTGCTTCCTGGGTCCCACCGGTACCACCCTCAGGGCGAACTCCATTCTCTCTCTCTCCCTTCTGTGCTGTTTCCTAATGGTTTCTTCTCTCGCCCTTTTAACAGTCTGCTTTCCACTAGCTAGAATGATCTTTTAAAAACAGAAGAGTGCTGTGTCAGTTCCCTGCTAAACTCTCCAAAAGGTTTCCCACCAAGCGTGGAAAAAGACACCCCAAGTCCTCACCACGGCCTCCCAGACCCCACGTGGTGCTGCGCGCGCCCCCTGCCCTCTCCCACGCCCCCCCTCTCCCTGCCCCCAGCCCCTCACACCTGAATTCTCTTCCCAGAACTGCCAGGATGCTTCTAGTTAACTGGAGGAAATGACAAGGTCTGTAGTTTGGAAAGGAGAGCTGCATTTCTCACAAAGCGCTGCAGCCTGGGGGCCATTCCAGCAGGCTGGGGAGCAGAGCCCCGGGCAGGGGCCAGGAGCAAGCTTTGCAGCAGGGACACAGGGGTAGGAATTTGTGCCGAGAGGCATGACCAGATGTAGATGTTTAACAAGCTATAGGAGGAGTCACGAATATTTATGAAAGGAGAAATAAGCGCCTAAGCAGTGGAGCTTTGTGCCCCTTTATGGGGTCCACATTCAGAAGTTGTGGCTCTGTGATGTCGAAAGGTAAAGGATGGGAAGTCCCGCAGACTAGTTAAAACCACTGCATGGCTGCGGTCTCTTACCAGGAGAGAATGCTGGTCTGCACCCTGAGACTGGTTTCTGTTTAGCCCTTAGGAAAAAAGCCCAGTGGTCACTAGCAAGGGAGGGGGCATAATGAGGCATGTCTGACCTCCCATCCCGTCGTGGCTGGAAACTCTGTTTTAAAGTTTCTCTGGGTTTCCCTGGGCCAAGAGGGGGGTCCATTCAGTAAGAGAGGAGGGGGGGCTTAGGATTTTATTTTAGTTCACATTCTGCTCAGGGAAGGCCCCCACCCTAAACAGCCCCACAGCCATTCCTTCATTTTATCCTGTCTTTGTTTGAATGTCATTTCCTTGAGGAAGTCATTCCAGGTTGTGCTGTTTAAAGACCCTTTCCTTTCGATCGCGTAGGGTACTTGATCTTCCACGGAGCACTTAATTGTATCTCGTTTCCCTTTCTGTTGCCTGTCTGTCCTTAGATAATGCCAGCTCCAGGAAGTCGGGGTCTGTCCTCACCACTGCACCCCAGCCCCTAGAACAGTGACTGGCAGGAGCAGCTGCCCAGCAAATAGTTGTTGAGTGAGCAAACACTGGACAGCTCAGCTGACAATCAGTCAGCTTCTTGGCTTGTGTTTTGCCGAGTGGTGTTTGGAGAGTTTGGGCCAGAGCTGAATTGCTCAGAAGAGGGAAACTGTGAGGACACAGTTGTCCTCCCCCTCCAGCTGTCCCCTGCAGCGGCAAGCCCCTCCCCTCAGGTGGGGAATATTGCTTGAAAGGCATTTGTCTCCAGCCATGTGGTGCTGCTGTAACAGAATGCACGGCCTGGGCCATTCACAATGCCTAGAGATGCACTGGCCCGCGGTTCTGGAGGCTGAGAGGTCCAAGATGGAGGAGCCGGCGTCTGGCAAGGATCGTCTTGCTGCGCCATCCCATGGCGGAAGGGCAAGGCGAGGGCAAGAGAGAGACAAAGAGGGCCAGATGCTGACTCTGGGGGACCTTCAAGCCACAGCAGCACTGTGGCAGACACTGCTAGTTCCCTGCCCAACAGCTGTTCTGCCTTTGCCCCTGGTGACAGATGTTACATGCGCTCAGGGCTGCACGGCGCCGGCTCAAACACTGTGTTCCCGGCTCCCTTGCAGCGAGGGCTGGCCCGTGTCACGTGTGGCCAATCAGATACAAATGGAAGCCACCGGGTGGGGCTTCCAGCAGAGGTTGTGAAAGAGGATAGACTCCACCTGGATGCCCTGCCCTTCCTTCCTGCCCGGACCTGGGACGCTGTGCCTAGAGATTGGGCCACCGGTGCACCTTACAATCCCGATGAAAACTACACACGTGCAGTGGCAGAATAGAGAGACAGAGCCTGGATCCCTGTAGCCCTGGACTTCCCACCTCTAAATTTCTTGGCATGTGAGAAAGACGATCCCCTCTTTGGTTAAGCCACTGTAACCGCTGTGATGCACCTCTGAACACAGTCCTGACTGATGCTGGCGCGCCGGAGCAGGAGCTGCCGAGGGCGGCAGAGTGCAGAGCCTCCCGCGGGGCGCCTGGGTTCCGGTTCAGACCAGCCAGCACAAATTACGTAGGACACCATCTCACGGTGCATGCAGGGCCTCCGAGGAGGCTGAGAACAGCTGAATAGAGCCTGAACCAACCAGCACACATGCACACGCACACAGACACACTCTCAGGTTAGCTTGGACAACCCTGAGAATTTGGCCATGCGACAGGATTCCTGAAGAAGAGCAAGGACCGTAACCTTGCACTTCCTTCCCTGGCAGGAAAACTGGACCGTCATTTTGAAGGGAGGTGGAGTTGCATGTTGGGAGGGAAAATCTAACATTACGACCTTGACAACCCAGCATTTGCCATCTCACAGCCATGCCCTTCCCCCTCCCACGAGGACACCTGCACCTGTTCTTCCCCAGGGTCCAAAGGGCAGCGAGCGGCTCTGCTCTCCCGGGACCTGCGCACGTTCGCTCCGCAGCGCTCTCAGAGGCGAGCCTCCGTCTGAATCACGGAGGGAAGAGCACACACTCTACTGGCTGTTAGGGACTCAATGTGTATGTCACCCAAAATATCAAACGTTGAAACCCTAGCCCCAATGTGACCGTATTTGGAGACAGAGTCTGTGAGGCGGTAGCACAGAGGAAAGGCCAGGGAGAAGGAAGAGAGACCTGGCTAGAAACCGAGCTTGCTGCACGTGACCCTGGACCCCAGCCTCCAGGACGGGGAGGAGGTAGATGCCTTCCGTTTACGCCTCCCAGCATTGTGTTACGACAGCCCTCGCAGACTGATTGATACAAATGTGTTCTGGCCAAAACGGACCTTGCCAAAACAAAACAAAACAAAAACAACTAAACAAAAAAAACCTCCAAAGGTTAAATGCTTTCTGCCTAATATCTTCAGATTTCCTGAACCTTTCCAAAACAGAATCTGAAGTCACTGGCACGATTGCAGCAGACTTAGAGGACAGTCCTGGAAATGTCCGTGCTTGTCCTTGTGAAACAGAGCATCATGAGAAAGGCAAGTGCCTCTCACAGCCGATTCTTTGAGCCTAGGGCCTCCAGAAGCATCTGATGGTGTTTGGCGAATGAGCAAACGAGCAAGAGGCCACAACGGGTGCCTCTGTGGCCCTGGGAAGGAGGCAGGGCGGCCCTGGCCCACCGCTACAGCGGGCACAAAATCACAGCTGTGTCCAGGACGCCCGGGACAAGCGGTCTTTAGGGGAAAAAAATGGATTCCTGAAAAGTTGCGTGTAGACCAAATGTTTGCAAACTGACTTACAATGTTAAATTAGTTAGACGATGTTCTAGGATCCAGCTCAGCGATCCATCAACAAATCGAGATGAGTGTTCTCCACTGTGGATGCATCCTTCTGGCAAGCTTGGATTTCCCGATTTTGGCATCAGTGAAGGAAAAGTGAAATGCGAGGGAAGCTGAGGCAGTGAAGCTGGGCAGGACCTGCCCGCCGTCTGCGCCCCTGGCCTCCCAGGTTGGGATGTGAAAGGGACCTGCCCAGGGGCTCCCGGCTGCTGGGCCGGGGTCTTCTGCTGGCCACGTCAGCAGTTTTTTCACCAGCCCAAGATTATTTTGAGGATCAAGGGGCACAAATGACTGTCGTCTCCGCTGTGGTCTGCTTATCACCCCATAAAATCTGTTCCGACAACTCGATTCAGTGAACGCGCATTTGCGGTTACGCCGTCTGTGTTGTTCTTGTGTTGCGAGCACCCTGCTCTCCCACAGGCTTTCCCGTTGTGTGAAGCAGTCTGTGGCCTGGAAGAGCGATGTCCCAAAACCACGTCACGACGGGTAACATGTGAGCGGTGGCAGGGAGACACTCGGCCACGGTGACAGTGTTTCGTCACCCGGCTCCCATCTCCCTGTGCTGCAGTTGGCACCCGGTGCAGAGAGCTTTCCCGGGACCTTCCTGGGGGCAGACGGCCCATGCTCTACAGCGACGGCGCATGCCTGCTTCAAAATTGACCGTGGTCTCTCACGTTTCCTCGCTTTGGGTCCCGCTCTGCCCACTACCCTTCCCGCCCCCACACACACTCCAGAGCCTGCTGTTGCCTGAAGCTCCCACTATCTCCTTTGGTTAAAAACAGGAATTTTGTTGTTCCCCTAAATCCCACTATGCCCCTTTTTCTTTTCTCTCCCTGCTTAACCTTTATTCCATTTTTCCTTGTCAAAATATTTGCTTCGGGGCCACGCAGGTAAGTCCACAGGCAGGGGGGGAGGGCTGAGCCGCCAGGGAGCACGTGTGGAGGCCTCAGGCCTAGACCCGGGGCAGGCACGGGGCAGCTGCGCCCAGCGCTGCTCAGTCCCGCCCGCCAGGACAGCACGCCGCTCTTGGCTCAGAATGCCGGAAACTCGCCACTCGTTAGAACAAGAATCCAACAAATATTTATTGAACACCGAAGAGCACTAGACTCGGGTTTGGAGACACGAGTCCTGGTCCTGATCCCAAGCATTTGACATCTCCCCAGAGAAACAGGGAGCAGATGGTTGCAGAGGCCCAGCAGCTCGCATGTTCTATGCTTTTAGGATCTTTGAGTTCATGAAACAGCTGCAAAATGTGGCCCGTTAATGCCCGCTGTTTGCTGTTTCCAAGACACAGAAGATAAGATGTGCCACTAGTTGGGGACAGCCTTCCACTCACGGCTGCCAGTTAGCTCAGCAGAGAGAGGATCCGGGTAGAAGTGACTGACTACAGCTATCAGGGGATTGGAGTGACAGAAACCCCAAGAGGTTCGGATGAGGTGCTCAGTCCCAGCGTGAGACAGAGTTCCCTTTGGAACCTGAGCCTTGGCCTTCTGGTCTCTTTCTTTTTGGTCATGTTTCCTGTTCTCTTCCCGGTCATGTTTCCTGTTCTCTTCCCACCCTCATGTCAACACACACTTTCAGCAAAAGTTCGAGTCCCTGGTCAGAGGAAAGGCTGTGCTCAAAGACATGGCAATGCTTAGGTGTGCCCCACAGCCCTCGGGCTTTTAAATCCAGGGCTGATTTCAGAACGTGGGCAAAGCTCTCTCCGAGTGCCTCCATTTCTCCGTCTGAAAATTGCAATAATCAAATGTGGCAAAAGTATTGCTAAGAAATAAATAAAAATTGCTAACGGAATGACACTTTTTTCACCCTTTGGCTCCTGGTTGCAGATTGTTTCTGGTTCCATGGGAAGAGCTTCCTGTTCTTAAGTTATACAAAAAGTGAAATGATTCCAAAACCCAGAAAACTGGCAGGTACAAATGACCACTGTCCCCTAAACTTTGCAGCATTTTCTTCCTCGTTCCTTTCCTTTCTTTGTTCTGTCTCTTTCTCTCTCTCTGCCCCTCTCTCCTTTTATTTGTCCTCTTTCCTCATCGAGAGTTCCTCATTTTCAGTTGGATAAGACTCATATAAAACATATACATATTCATAGACATTAATACATTTTTTTTGTTTAATTGTGATGTATAAACATTTTAGATCTACCTACATGCACAAATTTATTAAAGTATTTATATAGGTCTACAGGATATATTTGGACAAAATTAAATATCTACACACAGATACAGTAATTATGAGTAAATATGATACTAAAATGTTTATATAGTAAACTGTGCCAGATATCGGAACATTCTCCGAGTGGCGTTCGGTGCCTTCCACAACACCTTCCTGCTTTCACATCCTCCTGCCAAGCTCATAATGATTCAGAGGGATTAACACACCAAAAGACAAAACATAGACATTACGAGATTCACAGATACGATTTCTTCAGCAATAGACAGCTTTAACAGGATCACGCACTAGGGCCACATTTTGAAGGTCATCCTGAACGTGTCTAAGCACCACCTCTTGCAACTCTAACCCCGCCAGCACCATAGTTGTGCCTCCTCTGCCTACAGACTTCTGCAGCTGTCACTTAGACTCGGCGTCACCTGTGCTTACCTGAGGGCCAGGAGCCGAGGACCACGATGAGCACCAGCACCGGACCTGTCGGCGTCATGATAAGACTCTTCCCTTAGAGGGAAGACTCCTTTCTTTCTAACAGCAGAGAACGTCCACCGGAAAGGGGCTTGGAAAAGAAAATACAGTGGCTCAAAGCTCGAAGTGGACCCCCAGGGGGAGAGCCCGCCTGGCCCGAGGTGGGACTGGCGTCTGCCACCGCCCCTGCGCTGTGTGTTTCTCAAAGTGCGCTGGGTGCTGGGTGGCTTTCCAGCCGCTGGCAGGTCCTGGAGCCTAAGACGTATCTCTGGGTCCTAACTCCTGACTTGTTAGTTCACTCCCCGGCACAGGGATGCGGGCAGCAGAGAGGGATGAAGCCAGACGACGTCCGCAGCTGCAGACCCGCGGGAGAAAGCTGCTGTGGGTCGAGCACAGCTGTGGGGAGGCCTCCAGTCGGCTCCCCAGCCGGGGCCTGGAGCTGAGAGCCCAGCGTGTGCTGGGGCTGCCTTTCTCGGCGGCTCGTGGCCGGCCAGCGAGTTCTCTGTGTGCCTGGGGCGCCCGGCCGGCTGGTCCTGGCCCCAGGGGCGGGCGTGGGCTGTTTCACCTGGCACTGTTGGAGCCCTGAGATTTGGAGACGGCTGATTCCACCTGTCCTCTCCTCCTCTCGCCTTCTTCACGGCTGGTCGAGCTCGCCCGCCTCAGGGCCGTGCAGGCCGAGGGCCCTTGATGAACGCAGACCCGGAGGACAGGCAAGCGCACAGTCGGGCCGGCGGGCGAGACGGCCAGGCCGGGGCACCGCCTGGACTGGGACAGAGCACTGGGCAGCGCACGCCAGGGCACGGAGGAGCTCTGTTTCAGTGGCTCTGGTCTAGTCCCCCCACCCTCCATGTGTGCCTTTAGCAACTTGGGGACACCCAGATGGTGTCAGTGAGGAGCCACTGCGTCCCCTCCTCGCGCCATGCTGCTCAGTGCTCTGCCTAGGGGAGGCCCCGCCGGCCGCTGCCACCTGCCGGCCCCTCTGTGCCAGGAGCTCCGGAGGGGCCGTGTCCTTCCCCCCATGCCAGGCATCGCCACAAGCAAGTGCGCGAGCACCCCTCTAGACCAAGGGGAGGAGGGAAAGAATTGATTCCCCACCCACCCCACCGTGCTCTAGGCCTGCTGCGATCTCTGACTGTCTCAGGAGTAAATCAGCCACCGCTAACCCAGGTGTGCAGGAAGCGTCGCATTTATTTTCAAAAAAATCAAATGGAATGGAGCTCACCATTCCACCTCGCTGGCCGGGAATTCCATCCCAGCCATCGCAGGGGCTCCAGCCCCTCCCTAGGCTAGCAGGAGACTCCAGAAGGGTTTCGTGGCCCCCCAAGTGCAGGGCAGGCCCTGCAGCCTCCACTGCCTTGACCACAGCAGGCGCACCCATGGCCGGCTCACCTGGTCCCAGGGAATCGGCAGCTGCGCTGACCCCGCCCGGCGTGGTCCCCAGGACTCGGCCAAGACTGGGAGTGCAGTGGTGCGGTCCCGCCTCCCTGACCCCCACAGCTGCCACCTCCAAGGACTGCACCTCGGGGGGAAGCGGGGGGCCAGGCCTGGCTGCTGGAAGAGCCACCAGCCCTAGCCCCATCCTAAGTCTTGGGAAATTGTCTTCTATTTCCGGTCACAGCCACCTTCTTCCGGAAAAGACACTCGCCCGTTCTCCACCCTGCTGTGAGCCTCAGGTGATCTCCCCAGGGCGCTGGGCGCCAGGCGGGCGGTGGAGGCCGTCTTCAGGAGCCTCTGCTCTGGCGCCCAGCAGTCGCACCGCGCCTGGCTCCGCCGCCCTCTTGGAAAACGGCGCGGGAAGAACAGTGAACGAGACACACAGATCTCAGACAATCGTTCTGCTCGGGCCGGGGTGTGTCGCCTCCCCCACCGCTCTGCAACCATGGCTGCCGGGGGTGTGGGTTTTGTGTCCACCGAAGCAGAAATAGTCAGGATTCCTCCACTATGGAGGGAGGGCACGTTTGCACTCTAGGACCCTGAGCAAAACCTCCGTGAGTCCAGCCCCGGCCAGAGGTCTGTGCAGGACGACGCTCGCCTCATGCCGAGCGCCCTGGGACCGTCCCCAACTACTTCCATGAGAGATGTGCTCAGAACAGCCACAAAAGCAAAACCGAAGGCGAGGAAGAAACAGATACACTTCCAGTTGAAGAGGTAAGTTATGATGAGTATTTTTTAGAATTTCGAAAGCGGTGTAATCCCAACGCTGAATTTTAAGAACACTTATAACACATTTTCCTAACCTAACCACCATCGAAATTTCCTTCCATTGCGCACGTCCATGTATGCACATATGCACAGTTGCCTAGTTGTCATCTAGTTAATATTACAAGTTTATATCCTTCAGCTGAACTGTTACTATTTATAATACGAAACCTGACACCATTAAGGAGGACAGTGTTTTGATGTCAATGTTGAGAAAAGCGGAAACTTGGAGAAATCGTCTCTCGATCTCTAAGGAGAACTGTGGCTGGTTCGTAGTGAGAGTGCGTGGGAGCCGAGCAACCCCGCACAAGGGTGTCGACTGACACATGATGTCCACCTGGGACAGGGTCTCTAGTGGTGGGCTGCACGGCTCTGACACACCGACATCTTGAAGGCACAGAAGATGCACCTGTCGGACTTGGCAAATAACGCAGAAACAGGAGGCCGGCTCGACTGTCAGGGTCCCTTCCAGCACGAAACTGCCCAGCCGTACCACACACTGTGCCGACAGAATCAAGACACCAGACAGCGTCGGACGGCCGGGAGGCTGGGCCCGTCCTGTCATAACAAGGCACATTAGCTTAGTGAGTGGCCACTTGTGCATGAACTGGGACAACATGTGTCTTTCTCATTTACAGTTTTAGTTCTACAGAAATTTTTCATGAACTTAGAGAAACCAAGTCACGCTGAGATGTTCGTCTATTTAATTACCGTAATCGCAGAGAATCCAGTTACACGGCACGGAGAGGGCCTTGCTCACCCTACCAAGGGTGTCCCGAGCAGCAACCTGGCCTCATGGGAGCCATCTGGAACTCTTTTTTTTTTTTTTTTTTTTTTTTAGGGCAACATAGTTTAAGAAAGTTAAATGTTTGTCCAGGGACGTCCAGAGACCTGGGGTCTAGAAAAGAAGACTTAGAAGAAATGATTAAAGAGCAAAAGGGTTAGATGAGAAAAAAGAAGCCTAAGGGAACTGTCCTGTTGCTATGCGAAGCTTAGATGAGACGGTTACCCGCCACACCGACACTATTTTACAAGTGGGGCCTCGGAGCCCAGAGGGGGGAGTCGTCATACGGTGTCACACAGTGAGATGGTGGCGAAACCTAGACCACATCTCCCACAGCCCCTCGCTCTCACCATGTTTGTTCCCTGGCTTGTAGCGAGTTGTCCTGTAACCTCGGAACCAGCTCGAACCAGTTCACCATTGCTTAGGCTGCTCCAGACTTTGGCACAGAGCCAAAACCGCAAGTCGCGTTGCTCAGGCACCTGCAGTGGGCAAAAGCTTTAACCTCCTGATTGCTGCCAGCGCCAGGCTGGCACACGGGCTGCGCTGGCATCGCCAGGGACTCGTTAAGAAAGCCAAGAGCTCAGCCCACCCCAGACTGGGGAGACAGACTTGAGTGTTGGCCCCTGTCTCCGTGCCAGTCAACTCTCAATAAAGCCTTTTCTTTTCTCAAAAGTCAGTGCCATAGAATTGGCTTCTGTGCACGTCGGGGACTGAGCCCGTGGCTTCAATCCCGTTAGCCCAAGAGTACGACCTCACAGAGGAGAGAACCCACGTCCTGTCTCCTGCAGGCCCATACACTCTACCCTTCCTCAGCCC